GCAGTCTAAAAGTTTTCTGTCTTGCTAGGCTGCTCCTTTCCTGGCCCTTTACCTACAGAGATTAGGCTTGTCTTGAGGCTTATTTTTTTATCTGTACCCACAGGCATCTCCAGGTTGCTGGCTTTTCTAGAGTCCAATCTAGATATGTGAAGCAGAAAAAAATCAAGGAAATTCAGTGCCATATTGTTCATCAGATCCCATGGTCCCTAGCTGCCTGCCTTCCCCTCCCCACCTTTGAGAATCTTCTTATGTTTGTTTTATGTATAATGTTCAATTATGATTTAGCTGCACTTAGTGGGAGGGATGGGGAAAGTACAACTACCCCATTTTTTCAGAAGCAAACATTCCTAATTCATTTTTTTTTTCATTCACAGTATATCTCTGAAAGTTATACAAGAGAATGGAAATATTCTTGTTGGAAGAGAAGATAGGCAGCTAGAGGACAGAGATGAGAGGAAGATCTTTCATTGTATATATGTTCATGACTTTAGAATATGGACCTATCTGAAAAAAAAAGCAAAAAACACCTAATTTTTAAGAAGATTGACTTCCAATTTTGGTAGTGACATTATGGCAACTTCTTTCTGAATTGTTCCACTTCTTTCCTGGAAATCACACAGAGCCACAAGGAGAATGAAACATAGGTGCACAAGCAACATATTGAGCTAGACAATAAGAAGAAAATCTACTAACTACAAGAGTCTGCCCCTGGATATCAACATCCACTTGGATACCACTTGGATATCAACATCCCAAACCCCAACAACAGAACTCCTCAGTTCTGCTCTTAGAACATATCACAGCATGGTGGGAAAGAAAAAGGGGATGTGCATGGGATGGGGCTCAACAAGGGAAAAGCTCGGAAATATACACTCTGAGATATGAGAACGAAATATACAGAGTTGGAACCACTATGAGATGGGCTAAGATAAACAGGCCATGGATATTGAGGGGGGGTAGCAAAAGATAACACAGAAAATGGGCTCCAGGAAGCACTATCCTCTAAAAGTGAAAAGTACACCTGGGAAGACGGGTCGCCTCTTTTACTAGCAGCAGCTATTGAAGAAAGGCAGCGAGAGCTCAAATCTGCAAGATTATATCCTAAAAGCAGAGCCATGGGTGCATAGAGACACTATATTTTCCCTGTAGCAAGGGAGGATAAAAGGTTAAGAAACCTGGAAGGCAACTGCCCCCAAGCAAAACCTCCTTGGTCCGAGACAACTCAACTCCTTAAAATACAGTTAAACAAAAAAGGAAAAATTCAGTACTATAAGAAAAATTCTAAAAAAAAAAAAAAAAAAAAAAAAAGGAGAGCAGAACTTCCTTATAGATGAAGTAACTCACCAAAAACATTCCTCCATGGGGTACCTAAAACCTGTAATACAAAAAGATGTCCATGGATAAAAGAAGGAGAAAAAAAAACCTGTAATATAAAATTATTTTTGGAATAAAAAAATTAATGTAATAATTGCAACTGCAAAGGAAATAAGCAAAGAAGAAATATAAGAAGCCATGGAAGAAGCACCTAGACAAAAGAGGAAAATTAGGACATAAAGGAATGCAGGAAAGAAAGAAACAATAAAGACATTTTTGAATAAAAGATAACAATGACTGGGGTGCCTGGGTGGCTCAGTTGGTTAAGTGTCCAATTGGGTTTCGGCTCAGGTCATGATCTCAGGGTCCTTGTATGGAGTCCTGCATCGCTTTGGGCTCCATGCTTAGTGGTGAGTCTGATTCTTTCTTTTCTTCTCACTCTCCTCCACCCCCACTCATGCGTGCTCTCTCTCTCTCTCTCAAATAAATGAATAAATAAAATCTTAAAAAAGAGAAAGAGAGATGACAATGATGAGAAGCACAAGGGAGACTATAACCCACAGGAAATAAAGAATCTAAGGAAAAGAGAGTATAGAAATGTGAAAAAAAAAACATTAAATAGAAATAAATATGTGAAAAGAATTTCAGGGGAAATGACAGCTATAGAAGATTGGTAGAAGAGACTGAAACTATGCATCAGTGGACATCTTTTGCAAGCTCCAAATTTATTTATCCAGCTGCTTAACTCAGTATTCCCACTTGGATATCAACATCCCAAACTCCAACATATCTCACCATATCTTTTTTTTAATTTTTAAAATTTTAATTATTTTATTTTATTTTTTATCTAACTCCAACATAGCTAAAGTGGAACTTCTGATAACTTCTTCCCTTCCAGTAAGTTCTTGTATTTGTGGCTGTTTCACTTGACAGCAAATCTCATTTTCTAGCTACTCAAGCCAAACTTCTTGGAGTCATCTTGGGCCCTTTTCATTCTTTTACACACCACATGCAACTTGCCAGTAAATCCTGCTGCTTCCACCTTCAAAATACATCCAGCCACTTCCCAAATTTCCACTGCCATCACCATGGTTGAAACCACAGTCTCCGAAACCACAATGATCTTAAGTTTGGATTATTGCAATAACCTTCAACTTATCTTCTTTCTTTTGTTCTTGCATTCCTGTTTTTAACTGAGCAGCCAAAGTGAACCTTTAAGATTTAAATCAGAGCCCATCATTCCTCTGCTCAACACACTCAAAACGTTTCCTATTTCACTCTAAATTATAAATGCATTTATACTTTGAATCTGATAATTCATTCTATTGATACATTTTCACACATAGAAATGACACTTGTTCCTACAATATTTATAACTGCAAAATATGGGAAACAAACTATGTCAATCATTAAGTCACTGTTTAGGTAAACTGTGATTCAGGGAATACTTTGCAACTTTTAAAACAAATGCAGATGCTTCTGTTTCTGTGTACGATGAGGTAGAATCAGGTGAAATAAGGATTTCACTGGCAGCTGGGAAACGATGGACATGAACAGATAATAAGTCACTATTTATTTCTTTGGTGGCATCTATGAATTCTATGTGTGGGCCGAAGGTCAGGACTGAAATAGGCACCTTTGAAAAATCTACAGTTAATATCACACTTAATGGTGAAATACCGAACAATTTCCCCTAATAGTAGGAAAAAGACAAGCTTGTCTACTCTCACCACTTCATCAATATACTAGAAATCCTACTGATTACAATACAGAAAAAAGAAATAAAAAGCGTCAAGATCAGAAAAAAGGAAGTAAATTTATCTGTTTACAAGACATATTGTTTTATGTATAAAAATCCTAAAGCATCTCTGAAGTAACTACTAGAAGTAATCAACTGAATTTAGCATAAAGTCACAAGGTATAAAGTTAATATACAGAAAACAGGTTGTATTTTTTATGTTTCAACAGGATACGAGTGGAAAACAAAAGTAAAAGCAATCTTATTTACAATAGCCTCAAAATATAAAATAGTTAACAACCACAGGCAAGACCACATCACAAAAACTACACAACACTTCTGAAAGAAATTATATAGCTAAATAAATGGAGAGATACACAGCAGTCATAGATTTGAAGACTTACTATGGTTATGAAGTCAATTCTCCCCCAATTTTTCGATAGATTTAACAAACTTACATTCATAATTCTAGCAGTCTTTATGATAGATATTGACAAGCCAGTTCTAAAACTTAGAGTAAAATGCAAATAATCTTGAAAGCCAAGTCAATTACAGAGAAATACGGAGAACTTTCACTGCCTGATTTAAAGACTTATTATAAAACTAGAGTATTTAAGACAGTGTAGTATTAACAAAGGAGTGGGTATATAATCAATGGACTGGGATAGAAAGGCTAGAAATAGATCTACATATATATGGCCAATTAATTTTTGAAAAGCTGCAAAGGCGATCAATGAAGGAAGGACAGTCCTTCAGGATGTGATATTGGAACAACTGGACATCAAGATGGGGAAGAAAGTAACCTCACCCCTTACTTTTACCATACAAAAAAACCCAAACCAAAAAAAAAAAAAAAAAAAAAAACCCTCAAAATGGATCACAGACCTAAACGTAAAATGGAAAACTACAAACCTTTTAGAAGCAAACAGAATAATCTTTTTGACCTTGCTTGACCTTCTGAGACATGCTTGTAAATAACGTTCCTTAAAATTTATCAAAATCATGACTAAGGAAGGCTATGGGAGACAAAGAAATATTCCTTTAAAATATAACATTTTTCCTATATCAAACTCCTAATAATTATGGCACCTAGTGTGGGCCAGAATATGAGGAACTAGGCAATCCCCTACACTCAAAGATCAAGAAAAGTTGTATATTGTTACATTCTTTTGCAAGAGTGACACAATAAGATGAACAATTTAAATGTTCATGTCATTGGACTAGGCAATTCCACTTTTAGGAATTTATTCTGAGGAAACAATTGGATAAGTGCCAAAAGCACAACCCCACAACACACACGGGAATGTACACTGAAGCATTCGTTGAAATAAAGGAAAAAAGTTGGCAGTAACTTACATACTATTTTTGAAAGATACACTATATTTGAAAGCTATTTTAAGGACAAAAACATCTACTACAACAACTTACTAATCTCCTTAGTATGCAGTGAAAATGGATCTCATCATCATCAAATAATAACACCAGCTGAAAATACAGTGCGGGCTAAATTTGTGAAGACTAAGTTTGCAAGTAATTTTTACAGCAGCCTGGTGTTAAATTCAGTTAGGATACTAATTTATTACACGTTTTCATAAATTTAAATTAACCGTATTTCATTTTTGTCTTTCCGAATTATTGCCAAGTGTTTAGTTAATATGTGTACCTTTAGGACTTTTAAACTACGATGAAGTAACTAGCATTTATAAATTAATACCTACTTCCAAAAAGGAAGCTACAAGCTGATAAAAATCTATTAATAACCAATAAAAATCCATTTCTTTCGAAAAAACTTGCATAAGGTTTAGCTGTTGATAGCTGAGGAATGATCGTCTGTGGACAGCAGGTATGTTGCCTGTGTTTTAATGTTGCATTTGAGATCCAAAAAAAGAAAATAAAAAAGAAAACATTATTACCTCCTCCGGAAACCCCACCTGCTAAGGCCACATACCTTGATTCTTGCTTTCTCTATAAATTCTAGAGGGGCTTTCCCAAACTCAAATCCAGCTCCAATCCAAGGAATCCAGCCCCTTATGCACGGGGGTCCACGCAAATTCTTCCACTGAAGGAATAATAAAAGAGCAACGCAACCTAGGATTATAATCACTGTCGGGGAAATTAGTTCCATGTTTTTGTCTAGCACCTTCCAGAATCAGAAAAGGGAAAAGTCCTGCCGCCGTGGCACTTGCTCATTCCCCGCTGGGTGGGGGCACCTACCGGACCTCCCAACTTGTCTGCTACAACTTCCGCAGTTTGTTTGCCTTCCTAACTGTAGCCTGCTTTCCCCGCCCCAATTTTTAGATGACTTCTGCATCATCGCTCCCTCCTCCCACCTCCACAAGTCTTACCAGACCCGGCCACGCTGGACCCAGCGCAGGGGCTGGACCAAACTGGTGCGGGTGCCGAGGGGTGGAAGGCGGGGGGAGAACGTGCTCTGTTGCCATGGAGACCGGGGCTGGCGGCGCCGAGTGAGCCTCGCTCACGGCCAATCAGAGAATGGCGCCCAAGAGGCGCGCGGTCCGGGGGACTACATTTCCCAGAAGCCTCGTGGGCTTCGCGTTGTTGTTCAGCTATCAGTTCTGTGGAGCTCTCCAGCCCGGAGCTGCGAGGAAAGCTGCGGGTTCGCGAGGCCGGCTGGCTGAGCCCAGCGAGGGAAATGGTCCCCGCTCCACCGCTCGCCGGTTGAGGACGGGCGGCCCTGGCAGAGCGGCAGGCCAGCCGTGGCGCTGGGCGCCGGCCAGAAGGGGTATATTGTCGTCCCGTCTTGCTGCTGAATGTCGGTTCCACAGGATGAGGAGAGGCTTTTGCCGCTTGCCCAGAGATGGCCCCGAGCGAGCAAGTTCCTCCTGTCAGGCTGCGCGGCTACCGTGGCCGAGCTAGGTACCCGGCCGCCCCCGCCTGGGCCTCCCCCGCGACTCGTCGAGGTGCCGCGCTGCGGGTGGGGGGTGAGGGCATCGGCGGGCGGCTTCGGCCCCCCGGGGTGTGCGGCCCGCTGGGTTGCGCCCTCTTCTTGCACACCTGCCTGGCCGTTGTGGCAGGGCGGGGACAAGGCTGGCTTTGCGACGAGGCGGCACTGGAGGTCACTAAGGTCTTTTCCTTCCAATTTCGTCTCCCTCAGAGGTGCGCTGTTGTGTCTCAATGTCTACGCTTGGGAGCTGCAAGAGCTGTCATTCGTCTCTAGGAATCATTTTCCCATCTGTGAGGATGACCTTTTAAGAACACAGTCCCCTCGTCATCCTTAGTGAAATAATCTCTCTGGTTTATATTCTTACATAGCCTCGCCATGCCATTATCTCTCGTGGACTCGCAGGACTTAAGTTATTAACCTGTCACTTACTGAGCATCTTCTCAACATCTGCCAGTTGTCCTCCTTGAGCTTATCTCATCTATACTGTGTCTGCGTTTCAGGAGTCTGAGAAGTAGATAATATATAAATGTGAAATCCAAGGCGGGGCACCTATTAATTGCAACATTGTTGTAATTACTACAATATTAGACTGTGGTGATAGTGCTTAAAAGACTCAGCCCTGACCTTTCTTACAGGCGGGTGGGGAGACATGCAGTGACAGACAGTTACGGTGTGCTACTGATTATAATGAAAGCATTAAATATCGTAAGAACATAGAGGACCGATAGTTACCTATGCATAAGCAAGTCAGAGAAAACTCGAGGCCACCTAGGGAGAATTATGATGCCCTTGCATGAGCAGGTGGTGTTCCTTCCAATAATTTTGTGAGCAGAGTGCCTGTGTGTTCCCTGTGAAGCCTTCACTGTGCATTTTAAGATTACCCTTTCATTTTCTTGCCTGTTGAAAAACAAAACAAGCAACAGTTTTGGTGTGTTATCATTAGAAAATGTTACTTTGTCCTCATCTAAAATTAACTTATTTTGTATTTCCAGCACAGCCAGCACAGGATCCATTGTTTTGCCCTTTGTGCTCTTCTACTCTTGCCCTTTGGACCCTCTATTTTTTCTCTTTCTCTTCTCTTAAAGCTGATGGGAAAAATTTCTGTTATCCACTGTTTTTACCGAAATACAATTCAACTTTTTTCAAAAAAAATTTAAAATCAGATTACTGAATTAAATATTTCCAACTTTTTTTTTTAACCTGATGTTTCCCCCTGTGACCAATGGCAAAGAAACATTCCTTTTGTTAAAGGTTTGTGGAGAATGGTGTGGGGGCTGGGGATGGGAAGTTAGAAAATCAAAATATGGGATGGTTTTAAGTACAAAACACTTTAGGATCAGAACCTGAAACATTATTTAAGTAACCAGTAAGGAAACCAGAATTATTTTGAGAGGCATAACCCATGTTAATATAGAAGAACCTATATAGTTTTTTCAGGGTTCGTATGTTAATAAGGCATTGTTTAAATTCTCTACATGCAAACTACTTCTGTTTTAGGGGAACTATCAGCAAGATATTTTTTCCAAAGACCAGTGGTAAGATTTAATATTCTCTTCCCCCTACTCTGATTTCTCTTGGAAAAAAGCATAACTATGATTTTCTATCAGGTGGTGGTCATTGAAAAGACTCATGTAATGTCAATAATGTTCATGAACTTACCTGAATCTGATTACTTCAGTTATTCGGGACATTATGAGTATAAAGTTATGAGCTTGATCTTCCTAATGTGGGCCAGTTAGCTTCACTGTTTCAAGGTAAAATGTATTCTTGAATTCAAAATGTAATCGTTAGAAAAAAACTTTTCAAGTACAATTGGTCCTCATGAGGAGGCCACACATAAAACCCAGTACTGGAAAAACAACTCAATATATGCCTTAATTGAAAGTATATTGAGCATGCTACCCTTGTGTAAACTTTATATTACATTTTCTGTATCTCAAACTTCAGATCAGTGAATATCACCCATGAAATTACAGAATGCAGCTTCACCTGCACTTATTATGAACCTATCAGAATTAGTATAGTATTCTAAAAGTCACATTGGGTCTTAATCATGGGTGCAGTCAAAGGAGCATCACAGAATATGGATAGCTGAAATTATTCCCATTGGAAAGCAAAAATTAAGGACTAACATAGATTTTAGGCTGAAATTTCTGAGTAAAAAGAACCCAAGTCTTGTCACTTTTTTTCCTGATGATCTGGGGGTGGGGGTGCTTTGGGACGTGATTCTTAAATTTGGGAGTGCATAAGAATCAAATGATTTCTAAATCCCCATCAACCTACTCAGAATCCATAGGCATGGGGCTAGGAAATAATTTTTAACAATTTCTCTAACTAATTCTGATGTATTCTAAAATTTGAGAATCACTAATCTTGTGGTGACTAAAATATTAGTCCTGTGACTTTAGAATTTTAGAATTTTTGTTTGTTTCTCTGAATGTTATGGGTTTCCCCCTCATTTTGTTTTTTTATTAGCAACCTTTCCCCTCGATCTCACAAAAACTCGACTCCAAATGCAAGGAGAAGCTGCCCTTGCTCGGTTGGGAGACAGTGCAAGAGAATCTGCTCCCTATAGGGGCATGGTACGCACAGCCCTAGGGATTATTCAAGAAGAAGGCTTTCTAAAGCTTTGGCAAGGAGTGACACCTGCCATTTACAGACACATAGGTATCTATCTTGATTCCAGCTGGTAAGTTTGTTATGAGTTCTGTGTTTGTGTCCTCTGGTTTTGTGTTTAGCTGTGCCCAAATCCAGTAGTTTTTTCTACTACAGTGATAAATGAATATTCTCTTAAGAAAATTAACCACCAATTATTAAGGAATGATTGCCTTACATTTTTAGAAATGCATATAAAAACATTTAGGGATGAACTGTCATGATGTCTGTAATGTACTTCAAAATAAGTAAGCAGAAAAATGAACCAAGTATGGCAAAAATGTTAGCAATTGATACATCTCAAGGATACAGAGGGAGTTATTTTCTCTACTTCTCTAAATGTTCGAAGATTTTTAAGAAAAAAAATGAGCAATTGATATTTTCCTCCACTTTAGAAACTTTAAAACACAAAATTTAAATTTTTCATGTTCTTTGAAAACCAAAATATATTTGACTAAAATGCCAAATATCACTAGTCTTTGTCCCATACACTACAGACTAGGCAACTCTGAAAGAGCACAGGGATGACTGATCCAATACTGGCAATTGAGTGATTGCAGTGCAGCTGATTTTTGCCTCAGTTCCCCAAGCTACCTACCTACCTGTGTGGGCCTTTAGTCCCTCTTAAAAGGAAATAATTGTAACTGTGCCACAGCCAGTGAGAATACTTTTCTGCTCTGCTTCTCCAGTGGCACTCACAAAGATAGTTGTTGGGTTTTCAGCTTGTGGACAGGAGAACATAAACTTGGCTTCAAATGGAGGTCGGACAGGTGCGGCATTCTTCTCCCCTACGTTCATAATATTTCTGCAAGTACGTAGGGACCCTTGACCAGAAAAGGGTCCAGTACTAACACTTACCAGCTTATGATTTTTAAAGCTTCAGTTCTTCAGATGAGTGAGAGTGTCTTCATCAAGAGCTTTCCAGAAGTGTGTACAGAGACTATTGTTGTTTTAGTGCTTTGTGTATTTGTGAATATGTTAAAATATTTTATCAGACTTCCTGAAATATCAAGGAAAGTGCTCTCTATGAATACCATGTACTGATTTTAATGATTTTTATTTCCCAATCTTTTTTTTAATATTTTCTCCTTTGCTTCCCATGCTTGCTTTGAGTTTCACTTCTTTTCATTTGTATTTTACAGTTAAGATTCATTTCATACTTTTGACAAACTTTTTGAAAAAGTTACCCCAATATAATGAATTATCCTGTGAAGTTATGCATGTTTATTAAATGAAAATGCCTGCTGTGTACCAAGCTCCGTATTAGGGCACATAGAGTAATGAAAACACACAAAACCTGCCCTGAAAAGCTCATGGTCTGATGGAAAGATGAGCAACAAAATCAAGTTAATCTCTAGTTAATGTGATAAATGTCATATTCAATGTATGCCTGGGTAGTTCTGGGGGAACAGAGGAGAAGTTTGGCAGGTGCAGTGGCAGTCTAGAACACTGGAGGTCAGGGAGCACTCTTTAGAAAACATGTTCTTTGAATTGAGTCTTGGAGGACTAGGAGGAGTTAGCAAAGCAGAGAGGAAGAATCCATTCAAGAAAAATCAGGCAGCATGTGAGAAGGCCTGAGGCTTAAGAAAGCATGCCACCTTTACAGAAACATCAAGAAAAGACCACGTGTGCATGAGAGAACAACCCAGCTAGAGAGATCAACTGGCCAGGTCAAATGCCCTCTTGTTTGATTAAACATCTAGCTGAATTCACCTTTTAAATGATCCATTCTACACAGTGTACTCTGGAGGCCGCATGGTCACTTACGAACATCTTCGTGAAGTTGTATTTGGCAAAAGTGAAGATAAGCATTATCCCCTTTGGTAAGTTTTGTTTTGACAATAATATATACTATTGACCCTAAGGCACTAATGTGTATCCATTAGATTTGTATAAAATTTTGTATTTGTACCCAAATTGCCTCAAGTTATAGGCTTAAAATAATAAATAATTAGAATATAAATCCAAATAAGTGAGCATTTACTGCACATTGTACACAAACATACATTTGCATATGTATATGAAAATTTGCATATATATTATTTAATATTTTAATATTAAAAGAATTCTTTTATTTTTTATTTATTTATTTATTTTTTTTAAGATTTTATTTATTTGACAGAGGGAGAGAACAAGTAGGCAGAGAGGCAGGCAAAGGGAGAGGGAGAAGCAGACTCCCTGCCGAGCCCGATGCAGGACTCGATCCCGGGACTCCGGGATCATGACCCGAGCCGAAGGCAGTCGCTTAACCAACTGAGCCACCTAGGCGCCCCAAGAATTCCTTTTTTTAAAAAAGGCTTTTATTTATTTATTTGTCAGAGAGAGAGCACAAGCAGGGGGAGCGGCAGGCAGAGGGAAAAGCAGGCTCCCCGCTGAGCAGGGAGCCCGATGCAGAACTCGATCCCAGGACCCTGGGATCATGACCTGAGCCGAAGGCAGATCAACTGGCTAAGCCACCCAGGTGTCCCAATATTAGTTGGCTGAGCCACCCAGGTGTCCCAATATTAAAAGAGCACCTTCTTCATGCCTCTTTCTTTTTTTTTTTTTTCATTTTTTTATTCTTATGTTAACCCCCATACATTACAACATTAGTTTTAGATGAAGTGTTCCATGATTCATTGTTTGTGCATAACACCCAGTGCTCCATGCAGAATGTGCCCTCCTCAATACCCACCACCAGGCTAACCCATCCTCCCATCCCCCTCCCCTCTAGAACCCTGTTTGTTTTTCAGAGTCCATCGTCTCTCATGGTTCGTCTACCCCTCCTATTTCCCCCGCTTCATTCTTCCCCTCCCGCTACCTTCTTCTTCTTCTTCTTCTTTTTTTTTCCTTAACATATATTGCATTATTTGTTTCAGAGGTACAGATCTGAGATTCAACAGTCTTGCACAATTCACAGCGCTTACCAGAGCACATACCCTCCCCAGTGTCTATCACCCAGTCCCCCCATCCCTCCCACCCCAACCCCCACTCCAACAACACTCAGTTTGTTTCCTGCGATTAAGAATTCCTCATATCAGTGAGATCATATGATACATGTCTTTCTCTGTTTGACTTATTTCACTCAACATAATACCCTCCAGTTCCATCCACGTCGTTGCAAATGTTCATGCCTCTTTCTACTGGGAGACAAGCTTTTGAATTACACAGAGATAGGCTCAAATTCCTGCTCTACTAGTACGTATGTAATCCAGTTAAACTACTTTACCATTTTGATCTTCAGTTTTCTTAGCTGTAGAAGTAATACCTACCATCAGGCTTTTGTTTTTGTAGGATTAGATGAGATAATGAATGTAAGTGCATATCACTTATATTTGTAACAGAAACAAAAATAAGTTATTATAAATAATATACATAGAACTCATACCAATAAATTAAAAAAATATAAAAACACAAAGAAAATAGAGAAAGGATATCAACAGACAAAATTCACAAAAGAAAAAATATAAATGTTCATTAAACATTTAAAAATGTTCAACCTCACCAGTGATCAGGGAAACTAACTAAAACTATCTTTTAGCCATTAAGCTGTTAACAGGAATGTAAGTTACTATATAGTCTTTTTGGAGAATATAGTACCTGTTAAAGTGTTTAAATATGTAATCTTTTGACCCAGCAACTCTTCCTTTATGATATACTCACATTCAGAAATACCCGTACCTATGCATAAACACACAGACCCACACACACACAGATATTGACTGTAGCAGTGTTGAGAATAGTATTTTTTTTAAAAAAATTAAATAACTATCAATTTGGAAGTAGATAAATTTTAATATATACAGGGAAGCATAATATACAGCTTTGAAAGAATGAGGTAGGTTTTATATGACTAACCTATAAGGATGTCTATAATATCTTTTCTGGGCTAAAAAAAATCTAAGTCACAACTATAAGAAAATAGCAATAAGCTGAATTTCACCTTTCAGGTAAAATCTCTTGGCTTTGTTTAAAAAAATTATAATGTACTAAGCTATACTAATTGTTTTCCCAGGATTAGTGATGAAATAGATTAATAATCCTTACATTCTGTAATTCCCCCAGAAGAGAAAGGTATAAAGGGTTCAAAGGAAATATTTCACTGTGAAGTCAACTCTCAGGGTAGATGGGCTTGATGTCTTTTGACCCAGTCAGAACAATTCAATCAAGAGGTATTTTTGATTGAGTGATCATGGTGTGCCTGTCCTGTACCCAATACCGAGGCTAGAGTAATGAAAAAGATATCACTGAGCACACAGTAATAGAGACAGATGCCTAAACAATTAGAATTATGTCACAATTACTGAGGAGGCAGTAGTTATGACATTCTCAAAGAGAAAAAACAGTGCTGTGTTCATCATTGTGAGAACCAGGCACTCTCCTAGGCTGTTGGTGTTGATGGAGATTGATACAAGTTCTATGGAAAACAATTTGCAGGGCCTATCAAATGCCATGTAAATGTTCAGATTTCTTAGTTAAAAGTTAAGCTGTCTAAATAAATTGTTATGTGTCCATAAAATGGAATGTTATGAAACTTTTTTAAAATGAAGCAGCTCTATATGAATTGATAACTTTTGAGATACATTATTAGGAAAAATATATCTTAAAGGATATTATTAGGGAAAAATTAAGGTGTGGAACAGTATACAACCTGGCATTCTACATTTGTGCTTTTTTTTTTTTTAAGATTTTATTTATTTATTTTAGAGAGAGAGAGAGAGTTCAAGTGGGGGAAGGGGAGGGCAGAGGGAGAGGGAGAGAATCCTAAGCAGACCCCAAGCCGAGTGCAGAGCCTGATGTGAGGCTTGATTCCATGACCCCCCAGATCATGACCTGAGCAGAAACCAAGAGCTGGCGGCTCAACTGACTGAACCACCCAGACACCCCTACATATGTTCTTTTAAAAATGAGTATTTATACATATACATTTGTGTGTACACAAACTATCGATTGTAACTTAGTGCTTAAGACTGTGTGGTCTGCGCTCAGACTTCCTGCTGTTACACCTTGGCCGTACCACTCACTAGTTGTGTGATTTGAGCTGTCCTTTAACTGCTTTTATGCCTCAGTTTCCTTATCTGTAAAGAGGATTTAACAGTAGTACTAATGTCATAGGGTTGATATGAAAAATAAATGTTTTTTAAAATGCTTGAACAGGGCCTGAAATAATAAGCAATCAGTGAATGCATTATTATTATGTGCAGGAAATCATAAGAAACTAGTAATTGTGATTGCTTCAGAGGAAGGGAACTCATAATAGGGACTCTTTTTACTTTATACCCGTTTGTACCTCTTCAAATATAGTTTTAGAGTAAAAGGAAAGAAATTATCCCTTTTCTTCAAAGAAAAGGTAAAAGATGATCAGAGTCTGGTCTGCAACACAAGTAGCTGGAATGGAGAGGAGGGGATGGATTCAAAGCATGTTTAAGTATAGTAGTCTAGATTTGATCACTGTTGGCTTTGGGAGGTGAGGAGAAGGAAGAGTCTAGGGGCAGAGAGAGTTTCTTCGAAGAGAAAAAAGTTATCAACCCCCCTTTACTTTGCAAAACTACTAAAATAGTAATTTACAAACTCTGACTTACCAGCTTTTGTGTGTTAGACTGATTACATCTATGCTGTTTTTATTCCCCTGTGGTCAGAATTAAACTACAATTAAATGGTTGGTTCAGATATTTATAACTTTGAAGCAACTGCCCTTCTTTTGGATTTCAGGCCATAGAAGGCCCCTGAAACCAGATTTGAATTTCAACTCCTTATAGTCCTTTAACCCTCCCTTCAATAAACAGACAAACCATCTACTTTCCTCTGTGATTTGTATGTCCATCCTTTTCTTCACTTTGTCTTAAATCCCCTATGCAGGGGCTGGACCAGCTTGGTACTGTTCACTACAAAATTTGCAAAATTAACAGAAACTATTAAAAAATGTATCTCCCTTTGTAATTAGGAAATCAGTAATTGGAGGCATGATGGCTGGTGTTGTTGGCCAATTTTTAGCCAACCCAACTGATCTAGTGAAGGTTCAGATGCAAATGGAAGGAAAAAGGAAACTTGAAGGAAAACCTTTGCGGTAAGTTCTCCAATTAACTGATTCCATTCCTTCCCCCCGTCATAGTTTGAACATGTACCTACTGATTTATGCATGTTTGTAATCCAACATTCAGTGAAGACATTAATTCTGACTCTTTCAACTTGGAGGATGTATTCATTAAGAGGAGGGCTAACACGGATCTTTTCATTGCATGATAAGGTGCCCGTGTTCTCTATCAGAAAAATTATATGTGTTCGTAGTTGTTTGCTGCTTTTCCCAGCCTAATCAGCTAGACTTGTCCCATTACAGCTTGATATAAAGAGTCTGATTACTAAAATTTGCAATTTGCCCCAGTATGAACCCCAATTTTGTTGTTGTGGTTTAGTGTTGTAGAAGTCACTTAGCACTCCTACTCTCTGTTTCTTTATCTTTAAAAGGGACTGTTCAGAAGGTTTGCATGACAGACTGCCTCAGCTCTTCCATGGCTAAAAGCTAGGTTCCTTTCCCTTTATCCCTGAAAGAAGGGAAATAGCAAGATTGACCTTACAAGTTCTTCCCACTTCCTTGTCTAATCCCATTCCTCCTCTTTTCCCCAAGTTTAAGGAAGGTTTTTATTAGGCCTTTGTGATACAAAATTCTCCTGTTGCATTACTCTACATTATTGAAGTCTGCCTTTCTTCAAAAGACTTCATGTTCAACAATTTATTAAAATACCACTTAGTCTGTTTCTCTGGGAAAGGGGCAAAATCTTAGAGATTGATAGACCTCTCCCAGAAAAGAGGAAAAGTGCAGAATGCCTTGGGCTGAGTATAAAGAGGTCTGCTCCTCTGAACACTGCAGGTCTGTGGCTGGGCCAGAGGTGAAGGAGGGTTTGGGACCTCCTTTGGGAGCCCATCACTCTCACTGACCACTGCTCTTCACAGTGCTGCTCCTCTGGCTGGCTCAGTGGAAGTTGAGGTTGGGCTTGGCAGTCCAGGCCCCCCTTGAGCCCTCCAAACAGAGAGAACACCCACCACAGAGGAGAAAAGGGTACCACTCAGACTTAACCAAGTAGTTTACAGAATCCTAGGATCCATTTTGTCATCTTGTAACAACTTCTAATTAATTACTAAAGTAGCAGGAAGAAGTGATGTTGCCATGGTTGGCTATATGGAGAGAACTATTGGGATCCAGAAAAATCTGAGTTTTTAACTCATCTCATCAATTTTTCCCCTTCCTTTGTCTTCACTGTTGGAAATTTTTGGTTTGATATAGTAGTAAAAAACATTTCCTATTGTAAAAAACATCAACCTTGGGGTCAGACAACCCGGGATTCGTATCCAGCCTTTACCACATTTTAGCTCTGACCCTAGTCAAGTTCCTTAACTTCTCTAAGCCTCAGTTTCCTCAGATGGAAATTGGAATGTAAATTCACACTTCATAGAGTTTTAAGGAATAAAATTTATCTTATGTATATAAAAAGTCTTGTGCTTAACAAGTGCATAACAGATTTTAACTACAATGACCATCATTTGTGAATATAACTTCCCATGTAACATTATAGCAATTATGCATGCCCAATAAATATGTCATATTATCTTTTTGGTGAGAATCAGGGAATGTAGTACCTAAGTAAAAGCCACTCAGCTACTAAGTGGTAAAGGTGGCATTGGACTCTAGGTATTTCTGACTATATAAAACCCAGACTATTATTTTATAACAGAGGTTTCCAGATTTGATTCATGGTTCAGCACCATTTTTCACCTGTGTACAAAAAAAAAAAAAATGAACAAAATCAGGATAGGGTAGTAAATTTTTATAAGCCAAAAAAGTATTCAATTTTAAGAACTTCTATTATAAGATTGGCCTCCCTACTCTTTAGACTAAAAATGTCATTTCTTTTATGAGAATATGTGAGGATTGACTTTTTAAAAATTTCTAACAGTTCTGGATAATTAAGATGTTATTTTACTCCAAATCATAACAGCTATAGGTGAAGTTTATCCAGTTGCATTCCATAGAAATGCATATTTTCACATTTCATTATTATTTTTCCTTTAGATTTCGTGGTGTGCATCATGCATTTGCAAAAATCTTATCTGAAGGAGGAATACGTGGGCTTTGGGCAGGCTGGGTACCCAATATACAAAGAGCAGCACTGGTGAATATGGGAGGTAATGGAAACTTTATTGAACTCTGATAAGTCCTAACTGCCTTCACCATTGTAATGATAAGCACTGACATCAGGGAAAATGAAAAATTCTATTTTATTATTTTTAGTAATACACATTGGCAGCAGTCTTCTTTTATGTTGTAACACCTTAATTGAATATTTTCTCTAGAGTATTTTCCCTTTTCTCCATGGTGATCTATGAAAAGGATTTCCTAAAACAAGCAAATTGTGACAATAAGGAGATAGGACTAAACTATTTCTAAGGCCTCCTCTCTACCCACACTCTCCTCCAAGATCCAAACTGGCACATGTAACCTTGTGACAATCATTATATCCAGAATGTCCAGCTCTTCCCCCAGCTTGTGCAGCAGGCATCCCAGACTGGAAATCTGAACGTTTCCTTAACTCATCCTGCCCTTCACTTCTCATAGTCAGTCAGTAACCGCTTCTGTCTTTTTTTTTTTTTTTAAGATTTTATTTATTTATTTGTCAGAGAGAGAGGGAACATACAAGCAGAGGGGGGCGGCAGGCAGAGCAGGCAGAGGGAGAAGCAGGGAGCCTGATGCAGGACTCGATCCCAGGACCTTGGGATCATGACCTGAGCCGAAGGCAGATGCTTAACTGACTGAGCCACCCAGGCATCCCTTGCTTCTGTCTTCTAAATATTTCTTAAAAGTGTACCCTCTCCAATACCTACCACCTTAGTGTCTTTAAAATAACCATTTTTACAATTCTCACTATCAAAGCCACACAGCTAGGGCACTGCCATAGCCATCAGGCTGGTCTTCTCCTCTGTCCTCAAATTTATACCCAGTATCCAGAAGGATATATCTAAAACACAGGTCTGAACATGTTACTGGGACCCTTATAACCTTTTACTGGTTTCTCATCACTCACAGAAGAAAGTGGAAATTTCATAACATAATATAGAAGGTTTTTACAATCCAACAGGTGCCTTCAGGGAATTGAGCAATTCACTGATTCAGGAGTAAAGAGTGAAGCAGAGAGTCATGAGCTAGAAGGTTCCTCTGCCTGCACATATCACGCTGCTCTTCATCTTCTACTTTCTCAACTTCCCTCTTCTTCTATTTGGTATCCTTCTGCAGATCTTTTCATACTCCACTGAAATGTCTCTTTACCTTGTATTTTTCCTGAACCCTACAACCACCCTTCCCTAGCCGTGTTGTGTGAGATGCCCTTTTATGAGTTTCTGTAGTTCCTGGTGCTTATCTCTGTGATCACTTGTACCTCATTCCATTGCTTTCTACTGTGTGTCTATCTCCTCTACTCAATAATGAGTCCCCTGAAGGCAAGGATGTTTTATTTATCATTATTTAACTAGTCCCTTATGTAGTCAGTAAACATTTGATGAACGTATTATTGAATGAAAGGATTGTTTCTAAGACCAAAATTATATGATTCTAGGAAATGAAGGGATGGCCTTTTTTTAAAAAAAAGGGAAAATGAAAGAGAGACACAGTGAGAGAGGGAACACAAGCAGGGGGAGTGGGAGAGGGAGAAGCAGGCTTCCCGCCGAGCAGGGAGCCCGATGCGGGGCTCAATCCCAGGCCCCTGGGATCATGACCTGAGCTGAAGGCAGGTGCTTAATGACTGAGCCACCCAGGCGCCCCAAGAATGGCCTTTTTGAGGGTAATAGTAACATATCACTTAAACATCAAAGGAAGTAAATCTATTTTTTTTTTTTATTTTGCTATTTCAGTCCATCCATGGCTACTGCATCATATTGGTACCTATTTTAGTTATCAGGAATCTTTACTGATTGTAATTTCTCAATTTGATGCTTCAAAATCTGTTGTAGCTCAGATTTCTCTTCCAGCTTCCAGCTATTTACTCAGCATGTTTATTTGGGTTATCTTGAATATATCACTTTGTGTCCAAACCAAACTCGTTTATCAAACTACTTCCTTCTCCATTCTTCCCAACCCCAATATTTGATATCTCACCTTCTCACTTGAACAATGCAGAAACCTAGGCCTGAGTTTTGTCTCTTTCCTTTCACTTACTCCTTATAGCCAATCAGTCACCAAGTCCAACCACTTCTGTCTCCTAGCTGTATCTCACATCCATCCATTTCTTTTCATCCCTGGAGCCACTCCTTTGTCCAAGTATTATTTACCTCCTTCTACTGGATCACTACGAAGCCTCCAAACTAGTCTTCCTATACCTACCTCACAGCCATTTTGTCCCACCATGCATTGGAAACTGCTCTGATCAAGGTCACCACTCCATCATCTTACTTAAAACATTTTAAATTAGTCAATTCTCATTTTCACCATCTCCAAAAATGGCAGCTCTGCCCTTCAAACTGTTTAAGCTCAAAATCTTGTAGTCATCTTTGATTCCTTTCTTTCCCTCTATTCAATTTGGTGATTCCGCCTTCAAAACATATCTAGAATCTGACCAGTGCTCCACAACTCCTTTATCCAAACCATCATCATCTCTCACCAGAATAAATGCAATAGTCTCATCTCTAATCTGTCTTGTTTCCCTGTAGTCTAGTCACAGCAGAACAGCCAAAATGTCCGTGTAAACAGTAATCCAGAGTCATCACTGCTCTGCTCAAAATCCTGCCCTGGCTTCTGTATCTCCCCATCTTCTGGACTCTGCTACTTCTCTAGCCCTTGCTTACTCTGCTCCTGTTAGACCAGTATTCTTGCTGTTCCTCTAACATACCAAGCTGACTTTTGCCTCAGGGATATAATACATATGTTGTTTTTCCTGGGACACCCTTTCTTAGATAGCTATAAGGTTTATTTCCTCATGTTTCATTTAGGTCTCTGTTTAGATGTTATTAAGAAGCTTTCCCTGATCATATCTTTAAAATTCACATACATCATTCTTCTCCACCTTCTGATATTCTTATCCCCTTTCTTTGCCTTATTTGTCTTCAGAGCAGTTACAACTATCTGAAATGCTGTGGTTTACGTATTTGCTTGCTGTCTCATCCCTCAACAAAGAATGAGGATTTTGTTCAGTTTGTCGATGGCTCTTACCCTAGCACCTAGAATAATGCTTACTACCACACAGTAGACACATATTTGGTGAATGACCAAATGCATCTATCCATTCTTGCCTCTTTATAATTACTTCCTGTACTTCACTGTAGGTAGTCATTATAAAACTCCAGAGTTGTAATATATCACTGCCCTGTTTAAAGCTCTTCAACAGCTCTTCATTGTCATTAGAAAAAAAATATATAAAAAGCTTAATGTAGAATAATGGCCAGGACCTTTTATTTATAAGTGACAGAATTTCAACTCAACCTACTTAGGATTAAAAAAGGAATTTATCATCTCAAATACTAAGAAGTCCAGGGGTTGAGCTGACATTAGGCATAGCTGGATTCAGATGTTCAAACAATATAATTGAGTGTCTGTCTCTCTTCCTCTTTTTCTCCCCCTCCATCTGTAGGTCACTTTCCCATGCTTGAGAATGATAATGGTATCTTTCATCCTTGTACACATTCCTGCCCCAAGCCTAACCTATTCTTTATGTTTTTTTTCTTGAGAGAGAGTGTGTATGTGAGCAGGGGGATGAGAGGGACAGGGAGATAGGGGGAGAGAGAGAGAATCTTAAGCAGGCTCCATGCTCAGTGTGGAACCCAACATAGGGCTCGATCTCATGACCCTGAGATCATGACCTGAGCCAAAATCAAGAGTCGGAGGCTTAACCGACTGAGCCACCCAGGCATCCTAAGACTAATATATTCTTAACATAAAAGAAATTCATTGCCAAATGAATATTTCAGCCTTCTTTTTCTTTTTATTGCCAGATTTAACCACTTATGATACAGTGAAACACTATTTGGTACTGAATACACCACTTGAGGACAATATCATGACTCATGGTTTATCGAGGTAGGTGATTATTTTAGTTTGAATTATTTTCTATATTACTTTTCTTCATATTTGGCATAAATTCTAACCTTTTGTCTCTTTTGATCGAGAATCTAGTGATATTACCCTTAGAGTAATGTGATAGTACATTTAAAAAGAACAATTTTCTTAAAATTTTTTGCAGTTAAAATGGGGAAGAGAGAGACAAAATTGCAGAATGTTTCATATTAAATGGTCCCAAATATTTGCACCTTGATGGGACCCTCCTGGGGTCAGATTCTGTTGATCAATTCTCCAATTCAATTCCACAGATATGTTTGAGCATCTTTTATGATAAAGGCACCTGCAGGGCCCTGCAGTGGGTACAAAGGGTAATCCAGGCTCCTTTGCAGGGAGTTGACCAAGGGGAAAACAAGACAAATATAAAAATATACAGGGGCACCTGGGTGGCTCAGTCAGTTAAGCATCTGCCTTTGGCTCAGGTCATGATCCCAGGGTCCTGGGATTGAGCCCTGCGTTGTCAATGCTCCCTGCTCAACAGAGAGTCTGCTTCTCCCTCTCCCTTTCCCACTACCCCTCCCCTCTCTCTCTCTCAAATAAATAAATAAAGTCTTAAATGCTGAAACAAAGTGACTAGTTTCTGTAGCATTCAGAAGAGGAAGAAAAAAAAACCACTTGGAGGGGCCTATAAAGGAGCTAGAATTAGGTATTTTGAAGAGCTGTAGCTCTTGACAGAGACAGGAAGAAGAGCACTCCAGGAAGGAGCAGTATCTTATCTCTTTGCAACATAATTTCAGATTATCCATTAGATTGAGTTACTTTATAGATGTCTAGTGTTCATAACATTATAGTCATTTCATTTAGCTTCTGATCTTGTGTCCAAATTCCAGAATGCTTTATGCTATTTAGATGACCCCAAAAGTATATTAATAGTGTTGAACCAATGAGATTTGGAGATATATAGATATAAGCAATTCCTAATTCAGATTCACCTTAGCTTTATATTCCTAGAGCAGTTTTTCTTCATTCCTCCACTCTTAAAATAAGTGTGATCTTTAGTGCTACTAGAGCAATCTTTGTCTATGTCTTTGCTTACCATTCTTTTCCACTCCACATTCTCACCCAGATTTGTTCACAAGCTACACCAGACTTTCTGTAGCCAATAGTCTGGCCTCCTCTTTCAGAGAAAACTGAGGATTTTGGCCTCCTTCCACTTCTTATTTCCATCCTGATAAACATATGTATTATATCTGTATCTACCCTTGCCATCTTTCCTGCACTATCTTTGTTGATGCTGTTCACTCTGCCCAGACTTTTGTCTCCAGTTTCTACCCAGCTGAGTCACCTTGTGAGACGTTTTCATCTTTCAAGATGCTGGTCTGTTCTGGTGTTACGATCTACTCCAGAACCAAGATATTCAGGTCTGTCCTATAGTACCACATTGATATTAACACTCTATTTCATTGTCTTTCTATCCAAATGGTCTTTGAAATACCACATCTAGCCAAAGAATCATGGATTTCCTGGCAGGTGTAAATCTTCCTAACATATACTACCCTACCAAACAGATCTGTCTTTTGTGGAAAAACAAGATTTCCAGCTGTATATATTCCAGTCCTAATGTGAAATAACTTAGTCTTACTCTTCTCTAATTCAGGTTTTAGGATGATGGGCATTTGTTTCCTTTTTAAGCTGTACCCACTGGATCAGTTTTTTAAATGGGTTGGTATGAATATGTGTGGTATATGAGGCAGCTCAGAAGTTGCTAATGATGAACTCAAATCTAAGTAGATAAATGGTGCTATGTGGTCTGGAAGTTCTGGATACTGTGTCCTAGAAGAAAATGAAGGGGATTGTAGCTGTACAACCAGAGAGCTTTATATGAGACATCCAACACCTAAGGAAAAAAAAAATTTGATATAAAGAAGAATAAAAACGGTGTAAGCACTGAACTGTGCGCTTAAAAATGATTAAAATGGTAAATTGTATGTTGTGTTTATTTTACCACAATTTCTAAAAATGCGGTAAGTAAAAAGTCCTGGGGTAGGGCAGGAGCAGAAAAGACAAGCCAGGATTTTAGTGAGGTGGGAAGGCAGGTAGCAAGTTATGTTAATCAAGGAAACAGAGGAAAAGTAGGGAGTTGAATTAATGGTCAGGAAATGATATAGGACAGAAAGAGCAGGATAACCTTATTTTTCTTCTTTTTAAATCATGAGGCTGTTGAGAGGTAAAACTGTAAGAAAGGCGAGTTTACTCTGTGTGAAGATGACACATGAGCATGCTTGTTTAGTTCATCCTTAAGAGGCTGGCTTTCTCTGAAACAGTGCTGATGGAGTATCTGAACCTGGTCTTGCAGATAGCCACGTGGCCTCCTGGAGAGATTAGAAGACTCCCCCAGTCACTTTCTGTCTGTTATCACTTCAGCTGTGTCCTTGGCTTCATTTTGGGCTGTTGCTAGCCAGGAGTGATGAAAGCCAATAGCAAAAAGCAGCAATGTCCATTTCAGTGCAAGTAACCTGGGTGAAATCAATGTTCCTTTTATTGCTCTATCTTTTCCCTTTGACTCTAGATACCATCTTCCTTGAGGCCTCCTGAATACATTATTCTGTCTTTTAATATTTATGTTTTAAAGAAGTCTAGCCAGATCACACTATATTAGGTGTTAGTTAAGAGGTTCCTTTGTGAAAATATTAAGGTATATTAAAACCAATGGTATTAAACTTTCAAAGAATCTGAACTAATAGGAAAGAATATAAAAAGAGCAGTAGTATACACCTACTGGAATGTATATGGTGAAACAAGAGCTCTTTCCACATAGACAATACCTGTCGTGTGGACAGAGACCCAAGGACATTACATGCACAGTTGGGTCATTTGCTGTAATGTGAAAAAGGTTATATGGGTTCCTTCCCTTGAATTCAAGTATTTCTAAAGTAATGTTCCCCTTTGAATTATAAATCCTGACCTGAAAGAGGTAGACAAAATCTGGGTACTTTCTGCTACAGCAGTTTAGAGTAAGAGAGAGTATGAAGATTCCTTAGGTAGCTTCAACTTCCCTGCCATAGAGCCTTCAGAGACTTCAAAAGCCTTGGGACAGAAGTCAGTGGTCCTTATTTTTGTGAGGTATTTGATGTCCCAGAAGGACCTAAAAGTTTTTCACAGTTTTCCTTTCCAGGTTTCCATTAGCCAAACATAAGCTGTTATTCAGGCTGCCTTGATCCCAGTTTCTGTAGATTCAGCTTATGGGATGCGGGACTTCATTCTCCATGACTCAGGTCAACCACCCCTTTTCTCATCATAGGTCTTTCTTGTGGAAAAGTTTAAAGCAGCTCGTGGGTTTTCAGTTTGTGGAAATTCATGCTCTGTATTGCCTCTCATGCCCACAAGTATAATGAACTACTAGTGATTTCTTAACTTTTTAGTCACTCATTTACTGAATTGCGACTGACTCTGCAGTAGGTTGACCACAGCCATTTTGTCTCTTCTGAGTAACTGACAAGAAGGAGCCATTAACCTTGTTGGACAAAGGGAGAAGGGATAAACAGAAACTCATTAGACTTTATGCCTGAGCATAGACTGAAGGATAAACAGGAATTGTCCAGTTAGGTAGGGGTGCAGGCATGGAGGTGTTGCATAGTATGGTAAATACAGAGCTACACTTAGTTATATTGTCAGAGTGTAATGGGTGAAGAGAGATATGATCTTGGAGTAATATGTATGACAGCCAGTGTATGAGCTAAGTCAGGTAATAGGGAATGAGTCTTAGATGGCATAAAGTAAGGGAAAATGTTATAATTAGGCTTGTATTTTAGATTCCTTAGGACGGACAGAAGAAAGTAAGATTATATTCAAATGGAATAGCTTAGTGAGTGAGGCTTAAACTGGTCAAAGTGATTTTTTTATTGGTTAAATATTAACCAAATTAGGTGATTGCCCTGTGGAAGGTCCTCTCAGTGACTTTTGTTCACATCTAGAATAAAATCACACTCCTTCAATAGCCTTCATGGGATGATCTCTGCCTGCTTCTTCAATCTTTCATCTGGCTGGACTCCTTCAGGATGCCGTGGCCATGTCGGCCGCTCTCTCTCTTCAGCCCACCATGGCCATTTCTGAGTCAGGGCTTGTCCTGGGCTGTTCCTCTGGCCTGTAACATTCTTCCTTCATTCTTTACATAATTGTTCCTCACCATTCTGCTGTCACTCAAGAGCCTCTCCATGACGGCTTGTCACCCAGTTACTCCCTATCATGCTATCCCATTTTATTTTGTTTGTAGCACTTAACGGCATCTGAAATTATTCATTTCTTCTCTGCCTCTTCCTAAGTAAGGGCCTCAGGGACAGGATCCCATGTGTCCTCTTTACTGCCTAGAAGAGTGCCTGTCACCAGTAGGTGTCCAATGTATATTTGTTGACTGGACATTCTTTTTAAAAAGTTTTTATTTTTTTCTACCTCTAATGATTTCATTAAGCATTGATTTTAAGCAAAAGTAAGATTATTATGAAGAATAATACAGTAATATATTTAGTATTCCATTCTTTCTAACTATCAAATTTCCTTTTCTTACAATTTAGAAACCGCTATATTTATTATCCTTCAAATTCATTTATTTGTATTTATAGTTTATGTTCTGGACTGGTAGCTTCTATTCTGGGAACCCCTGCTGATGTCATCAAAAGCCGAATAATGAATCAACCACGAGATAAACAAGGAAGGTAGATACAAAGTCATCACTCTCCATGTGTTCAAATGTCTGTAATAATAATGTTCCTTAAAGATGTTTCCTTGTATTTATTCTTGATAGAAATATATCTGTGTGATCATGTCTTCAACCAGCAAACTGTTTTTATGTAATTACCTGCTCTTTGTCTGATGGAAAAATACTGTGCATTTGGGGATATAAGTTAATTTAATGATCATATTCTTTAGACACAAGGTATTTATTGTGATTTTATTGTTTTCAAAGAGTTTATGAAAATATACTCTGCTGAGAATTTACAGAGCACTTTCTTCAGAAGCTTATGACTTACAGGTAACATGGAGAATTTGATTTGATATAAAACAGTATGTTCTCTCTGGAAGAGATCAGGTGGAGTGAATTCTAAGTATAAGACTAAGGGTGGGATGAATCCGAAGAGTCAACCTTAGACACCTAAAGAAATTATCTTTAAACTCAAAAGAGGTGATTTATATATACTGAACCACAAATATTTGTTTTAAAATAGCAGAAAATGTTTAAGTTTCCTTATAGTAAGTTTCTTTAGATTATTTTTTAATTTATGTGTTATTTATACAACTATTTACACACAAAAAGTTTAGCAAACTGTCCACTTTCCTTTTTAGGGGACTTTTGTATAAATCATCAACTGACTGCTTGATTCAGGCTGTTCAAGGAGAAGGATTCATGAGTCTATATAAAGGCTTTTTACCATCTTGGCTGAGAATGGTAACGTCAGGTTTTTCCTTCCTTTGTTTTTGTTTTCTTTGTACTTAAATTGCTTTTAATCTACACAAATATTTTCCCTTTTCTCTTTTGGTTTTTAGCATGGCTCTTCCCCAAACCACAATTCTTTCTCTCCTTTTTATATCTCTTTTTGTTTTCTTTTTACCTCTCCTCAGAGTCCCATCACCTTCCTTACTGGATTAAAGTAAAATAATTCAATTACATCTAGAAATGAATAGGTTGACATTCTGTTAGAAAGCCAGTGGATAGGGTTTTCTGCAATGTAAAACCTTTAATAGTCCATTTAGCCAAAGTATTGTAAGTTTGGGACAGGTATAAAGATTTTATACTAGAGACTGTTCCTATGAAAATGTTACTGTTTCAAACAAAATTTGTTACTTTGCTGGCAAATGTTGCATATCCATTAATACTTACTACCACAAAGCTCGGCTTAGTAAGAAAGCATGTCATTTTTATTTGATCTGGGTATTACTTTTTACTGAGGTAAGCTAAGATGTAGAATTAGATCGACTTATTCAAGTAACATAAGATATATAATAAAAATAAGGTACTCAATTATTTTGTAAGTTAGAACATATTTGAAAGAATGAACTAGTCATGGATTTAGAAATTCAAACAATCAACACTTTACACAATATAATAATATTAATTGAGCACCTAGTCCATGCAAAGCCCTGTACTCAATGCCTGGCTTTGGGATGAACAGGAGAATCTCAGGCCTTCCTCTAGTGCTGGAGCTTCTAATTTAGGTAAGGCCAAACACTGAATAAAAAACTAGAAGTGACGAGTGGTAAAGGAAAAGTGCATGGTGTTATGAAAATATATAGCAAGCACACACAGCCTAGGCTTGGAGATTAGAAACACCTTGGAGAACGGACTTTAAAATTGAGTTCTGAAGAATGAGTGGACTTAGCCAGGTAAAAGGAGCAGAAAAAACATTCTGGGTAGAGGGATAGTTGGAGTGGACAGAGAACATGATGAGTTCAGGGAATTGAAGGAAACCCAGCAGGCCAAGGCATGGAGACATGGATGAAAGAGGCACAAGATGAGGCCAGAGACAGGCAGAGGCCAGTTTGGGAAGGGCTGTAGGACCCGTAAGTATGAGGGGCACCGGCTTGATGACATGTATGTTTTTAAAAAGATCATTCTGGCTGCCATGTGGGAAAGGCCCAGAGTAGTGGTAGATGAGACATAATGATAGCTTGCATGAGAGTATTACAATGGGGACAGAACAAGATTCAAAAAATAATTTAGGAGATAGCAAGGAGCTAGAAGCATGACTGGATGGGGAGGGGAAAATGGTCAGAGAAGATAAGGATAGTTGGGCTTCATTCCCAGATTCCCAAATTGAGCAACAGATGATGTAGTTTCCTAACATGGAGATCATTTGTAGGGAAGATTCCGTGGTAGAATAGCAAGCATAGTTCTAGATTTTTTAAGTTTTGGGTATTCATAGGACATCTAAGAACAGATATCTAGATGGCTCCTTCATATATCGATCTGGATCTTACAGAGCATATGGGGATGGAGATTTAGAGGTGAGCACCATCTACATATAGATGGGAATTGAAGTTCTGGGAATAAATGACATCACCAAGCAATAGTGGGTATCTATTGACATGGAGTTAATATCCAAAGCCCTTAGCAATATCTGATACAAAAGTGTACCCAAGTATAAAACCTTATTTTGATTGTCTTGATTATACCTTGAAATTATCTCAAATCTGTGGATATTTCTTAATGGAAAGGAAGATCCTGATTTGGCCTGCATGAACCAGGCACTATCTCACTAAGGAGTAAGATGCTTATTTTTTTGCGTGAGAGCAGTTTATAATGTGTTGGAGAAGACAGACATGTAAGTAGTTAAAATTTCAGGAATAATAAAGCCAGTCTTATTAAATCACTTGGTATTAGCACCAACACTGTGCTAATCATTTTCATGGCTTAACTCACGGAATTCTCCCAATAATCTCTTCAGTAGGTTATTATCATATGTCTTTTACAGAGGAGAAACAAAAGCTTAAAGAGTCTGAATAACTTGGCCAAGTTAGGTGGTTATTATTTAATGGAGTCAGGAATCAAACCCAGGAAGTTTGACTCCAGAGGACGTGGTCTTACTAAGCAGGTTGTATTAGTACTCTACTTACGGTATGAACAAAATGGGGTGAGAACATGGATAGTGAAGTAAAAAATGGCTTTGCCTGTTTAGGAAGTCACAAAGTCTTTCACAGAGATGATATCTGATCTGAGCTTTGAAAGATCAGTGGGCATTTAAAAAGAAAGTCATGAGGGAGCAACATGAGCATAGGCATCAAGTCATGTGTGGACCCAATAGGTTTGGACAACTGCAGAAAATTCAGTATAGCTGAAGAACAGGTCCTCAGAGGGGATGTGGTGGGGCAGAATGCTAGAGAAGTACTTAAGGACCAGGTTAAGAAGGACCTTGTGGGGCAAGTTGAGTGGCTTAGGTGGAACCTGTAGTAAGCAAGGAGCTGTTTAATTGTGGGAGCAAAGTACTAAGGTTTGTTTGGGGACAGGATTATTCTGGCAGCAATGTAGAAGATACACTGAAAGCTAGAACCCAAGAAAGGAAGTCTTGGTCTAGCCTGGAGATAACTGTAAAAATGGAGAGAATGCAGATTCTAGGGCCATTTTTGGTTAGCTCTACAGGATTTAATAATTGACTCTATGTAGAAGGTGGGGGAGGGACGGAAGGAAATGGAACTTTTATATTTCTAGTGTGGAAGACTGTAAGGATGGTGAGACCATTAATGAAAAACAGAATCAGGGTCAGGAGGTATGGGGGCAGGGAGAATAAGACAAAGGAATACTGAGACGATTTAATCTGACCCATTCTCTTTATGCATGAGACTCAAGAAGTATAAATGAGAAAAAAGAGTACGTCATATATGACCGACACTGTGCTAAGCTCTTTATACACATTATTTGTTTTTAAGTCCTATAAGAACCTAGGGAAACAGGTGGTGTTATCCTCATTTTTCAGATGAGAAAACCATGGCTCCAAGTATAAGAAACTTGCTCAAGTTCATATATATACCTGGTATGTGGCAGAGTTGCGAACTGACTGCAGGTCTGTTCAGTTCTAAACCCATGCTCCTAACTAATACAATATATGGAGTGTCTCCACATCCTGCAGCTCGTTATAAAAGTTGTCAGGGGAAAGAGTGTGTAGTGGTAAAGAGATGTTACTAGAGAAAGGCTGGCTAACCACCAGAGGTAACCAGGGTGGCACTGCCTTGTTGATCTGCCACAGTGTATGACCCTGAGTTTAAAAGCTGACTCATGGGCACTTCCAAGTAAATTGGCCTTGCAAATACAGATTCACCCTCAACTGAACTCACTGAAACTGATGATCAAACCACAGTATTGACTCATTCATGTTGAGAAACACACTTGGCAAGGGATCCAGATGCTGAAGTCCTCTGAACAGTGTGCTTCCTCCTAAATTCAAGCTATACGTGAAGGCAAGTTATAATCAGAAGGTTGCTTGCTAAACATAGGATAGTAACAGGAGGAGCTTATTCATAATCTTAGTATTTAGGAATACCCAAGAGCCCTTATGTTCAGCCCCACAGTAAAAGGCACGGAGAAGGACTCTGTTTTCCAACAGGCAGACCAGAGCAGACAACACGGGTTCATATACACTTGCATTATTTACCGTGTTATAACTATGCTACGGAAGAAAAAACAAGTAAACATGCCATGCCCTCATGTGCTCCCACACAGCGGCTCAGTATACGCCATTTGTATAATACTGCTGTTATTGGCTATTTGATCTCCCTGTTTAACTTCTATTCACAACCCAGCTACATTCAACCTCAGTCCCTTCCACTAGGTAAAGGTAGTATGTTTTGCTCACTCACTGATTAATATTTACTTCATTTGCATACAGAAGTCTGACTACCAGAGCAGCTAGGAATGATTACATAATCCACTCTTAACTAAGACCTCTATTTCTTGATCTGATTGCAGTTATATCACTGGCTCACTTCATTTTTGTTGTCACAAGAATATTATATATATATTCTTTATTTTGTCCATGTCTCCATTATATTTAACTAGCCAAGATGTGTTCTAAATCCACTGGTAAAGTCTGTCTCCCAATGTAACATGCTCAGTATTTCCAAACACAGGACATAAATATTGCTGTGCAAACTCTCTAACCAAATACATTTTATATTCTAATTGCTCAAGCTTCTTTTTTGACTCTAGTATGATAGTTTCTCTCTGGTCAATATTACTTATCACCTATGAACCAAACCAGACAGGAACTGGATCCAAGATACCCTTTCTCTGATGATTACTTCCAGTGTTTCCTCTGCAATTTCCTTCTGTGTCTCTGTTGTTTTTATCTTCTGTTGTTGAAAAACCCTCATCCCTTTATAATTCCTTTTGATGCGGTTATACCTTCATTCAAGTTAGTCAAGTCTTTCTGAGCTGGAAACTCTTTTCTCTATTTAATGTGAAATTTTATATCCATTTTGTGATATATCAGGTGTTGAGCTTATGATCTAACTCTCAAAGGATAATCTTTCATCTTCACTTTCAAGTTCTTAACTGTCTCCTTGTCACGCTCCACAGACAAACTACACACAGAGAAGCCCAGTCTACAATTCAGGCATACCGAGTCTCAGCCTCTTAGCCAGGAAGGGTTCAGTAGAAGGAACCCTAGAATGGAAGCCAGAAGCCTATACTCCAGCTTTTTGATTACTAAGCCTCAATGTCCTCATCTGTAAAATAGGGATATCATTACCTTTCCTTTCTATTGCAAATTGTTCAGAGAAATCTATGAGAAATAAGACATGAAAATATTTGTCAATTATAAAGTGCTCTATAAAGGTGAAATACCAAAGTATTTGTTTTCAGCCTAAGTGGATTCAAAATTACTTTGTCATTCAAAGATGTATATGCATAAATGTAGAATATTCATAATCACTTTGAAATATGCACTAACTTCTTTGGTTAATCTTTCAGACCCCTTGGTCACTGGTGTTCTGGCTTACTTATGAAAAAATCAGAGAGATGAGTGGAGTCAGTCCATTTTAAGCCCTTAAAGATGCAGCCCTTAAAGATACTGTGTTCAGTATCATTGAAATATGGGCATCTACAACACACACCCCTATTATTTCTACCTCTTTAGGAAGACACCTTACTCCACAGAGACTGTGATTTATAGGGGGCAGCACTTTGTTTTTCTCTGGAAACCCAAGTTCTCTTTGACTCCTCTTTTTGTTCAAAAGCAATCTGGTTGGATTACACAAGGCCACCTAATGAGACCCGGCACAGAATTTCAAGAAGATTTGAATCCTGAGCACTTGGGCGAGAAGATTTGACCTTTGAGATGCTATTCTATGCTGAGGAGCCTACTTAGAGAATTGCCAAAAGGGAGACAGCATCTCAGACCTGAAGTAGACAATAGGAATCTGGAAGAATACATACATACGTAGTGATTCAGAAATATATTTAAACTGTTGTCAGTATTTTCAATTGAAATTTGATGACTCCTTTTTCTGTTGTTAAAGTGCACATACTGTAAATTAAAGGGAGGTGAATGAAAATTCATGAATAAACATCTTGAATTTCCCTAGTGGTGAAGGAAGTTGATGTACCTTTTCTTGACAAGAGGACAAAAAACATCAAGTTGAGATGATACTTGGATTTCAAGGAGAGAAGCTTCTTTCTGGCAGTGTCCCATCTTTAGTTAGATCTGCATTATTGACTAGCACTCCACTGCACATGCTAAGGACTTCCCGACAGCCACAGACTGAGTCTTGATGAACATAGAGAAGAGCATTTGCTTTGTTACATATGCCATTGCAACCAGAGTTTGTCTCTGGCCCCCAAGAATCTCGATATATAAAAAAATGCAGCTTGTTTGAGTAAAGCTTAGGTGGGTAGGTCCTTTTCATAAAGCAACTTGTTATTATCAGCCTTTCAGGGGCATTTCAAAAGCAAGGCTGAGATGAAGTCAGCCAATTCAGACAGGCATCCTTTCTCATCTCTCCTTCCCTAACACTAAGGGCCAGAGAGAGAGAACTCAGAAATCACACTGAAGCTGTCTCTAGCCTGAATCTTACCCAGTTCTGAAAAGCTTCCTGCCTAATGAGTGATGAGTATAAACTGCCTATGGTATACATTTATGTCTCCAATCATTGAATCAAATACCCTCTTCTTATTTTAGAAAGGTGAGATTTTTCTTCAGATTGACCTATATGCCACCTGTTCCCCCAACCTCAGACAGTGGGCATTTCTGGAGGCATAGGAACACTCAAAAAGCTTAGACCCAAGAAACACCTTGGAGTTAACCCAACAAAGTTTGTCATGGACATAGAGGATGTTGAACAAAAAAAAAGTTTACAAGTGCTCTGTGGTTGCACTAATGTATAATCACTGCCATTTAAAAGGGGAAGTATACTTTAAAATATATTTTAATGTGATGTACTAATATGCAGTGGCTTATTGTTTTTCTATGAAACTTTCAGAATGTGGAGTTTAGTCAACATCTGTTGGTGGTCTACTTTTCCATTGCATCTGTCAATCTGTATGAATTGAGTTGTTAAATATATTTAAAATAATATTATGTACTTAAATTCCCAAGTGTTCTGCATTGGGACCACCTTTGGGAACTCTTTGGGTTTTCATGTTTTATAACTTTTAAAATTAAGTAAAGCCTGGATCAAAATATACCAACTGGACCATGAAAAACATTATTTAGCTTTATTCTTTGAGGGGCGTGGGGTGAAAACACTGTTTTAAATACTGAGACTGTTCCTTGATATCTGGATTCAACATGAAATTGGAATTTTTTAACCTGAAGTGACTCCTTGGGATCATCTGGTTTAATCCTCTCATTTTACGTGTTATGAAAGAGAAGCCCAGAGAAGTAGAGCTGCTTATGCTCATAGGTTACTTCATAACAGAGCCTGGATAAAAATATAGATTTCCTAATTATTATTATTATAATTGGCAGTTATTATATACTAATTCAGTACACAGTCAATACCTTATGTTATCTTCACAACAACCCAGTCCAGTGCTCTTGAATCTTCCAAAAAAAGATTTGTCTTTATGACATTTTTCTGTCTTATACATTTTAAATAAATCTGAATTGTCTTTAACACAAATTTTAAAATGGAGTCACCATGCCTTAGCTTGAACATTAAGGACCTCCACCTTCTGACCAAATCCTTTATATCTAACACATATGTCTCTTCACATTTCATATTTTTCCGGTGAAGTCATATTCATTAATGTGTCTTGGAATTTTGCTCTATCTTTACCAACTTGAAATCATCTTGATCCTCTTCAAAATAACCCACAATAAATAAAAAGGAATAAAAATTTCAGTAATTTTGTGTCCATACTAAAAGACTTAACCATTTCAATCTCACTTGTTGATTATAATACTACTGAATGTGGTATTTATCCTATTGAATACCTAGCATTTAAGTTTGTTTTGCTTAGCTTCCACATTTTTCTCTTCCCAAATGATTTTTTTCTCATTGAAAAATAATTATTTTTAGTTATATACAATCGTTTTTTATATGTATAAGTGAATTAGTATGTATATCTAGAGATAACATTTCTTAAATTTGCTTTTAGTAAGGAATAAAGTGTCTTTATCAAGTGCTCCAAGTCCTATTTCGTTATAACCCACTAATAGTAGGACCATGTCTTTTTTTTTTTTTATATAAATCTTTACTCTCATTAGTATTTCTTTGCTGTTAGGTACTCAACAAAAATTTATTACAATTATATATAACATAAATCAATTAATTTTGTCTTCATTATTTTAAGAATCTATCATAGACTAGTCTGAAATTTCCTTTTGCTAAGGAAATAAAAAAAGGAAATAATTCAGGGAGGTGTTAAATGTAAAAAAAAATGCTGTTCTGTCATCTTCACCTTTTTAAGCACAACCATTTATTTACAACTGAAATAGTTTACATGTTCTTCTCATTAATGAAAACAGATTCCCTCAGAACCTCCACTGGAAAAAAAAGTGTATTTTATTATAATACATGATGGTTAAAAAATTGAGGGGGGTAATCAATTCTCTTCTCCCCAATTAAACCAGGACTCTTTAAAAATGACTATCAAACAAATATATATTATTATTAAATGCCAGGTAATGCGGAGGGCAGATTGAGCATGAATTCTAAAGAACTTTATCCAATTCGGGTTCTACTTCTGACAAAGTAACATAACTATGAGCAAGTCCTTTCATTTCTCTTGATTTCCATTTCTTTATATGAGGAAGTGACTGAACTCTAGAATCTTCTAGAATCTTAACTTGCATATACTTGAGGGTGAGCATTATATTGATGTCATGGAGAAAAAAGCCAGGATTTTAAAAAATTTGTGGGGATTTGCTTTTTCCTGAATTTGATTAACTTCTCATATTTCAAACTTGGTTAAGGTTTATCCAGGCCTTAAAGTATAATACAAACTTTTTATATGGGTGGCCTGTCTCAGGAGAAAATCCTCCCTCACAGAGTAGCAGAGTTCTCTTTGTTCAGGCAACTCTGGGCATGTTACCCTAAGTTCTTACTTTCAACTGCATCTTTAATGCCACATCCAGGACCCTCTCATTCTGACTCCAAGCCATTTTCCTACCCCTTGCATTTCACTGCATACCTGCACTCGACCTCCTTGCAAATGCACTGCTCCACTTTTTTCTCTGGAGATGCTCTTCACTTGGCTGCTTCTCATGCAGTGCTCCTGCTGTGCTCCCCATCTAACTCTGCTCCCATCACTACCCCCCATTCATGCTCATTTTTGGGTTAAAGCCTATTTTAATATCTAGAATTATCTCGGAAGACTTCCACATTTTCAACACTTCTGTGCTCCTACTGCTTCCCTTACTGAGGATGTGTGTCTGTATATATGGAGCAAACATGATAAAGTCATATGTTGTTTTTCTCCTACCTTCAGAATAATTAACGTTGGGTCAGTAACACGTGATTTCATGAGATTCTTTACCATACTAACTGCTTAACTGCATTTTCAAAAGATCGTGTGTGTTTAAACATATGTAATTGTTATAATGTTTAAGAAATATTCAATAGTTAAATAGCTATTTCACAAAAAACCCCCCGAGAATTTAATAGTTTAATACAAAATATTTGGTTAGTTAGTAGTTAATAATGTGACCAGTTTCTATTATTCTTCCTTTTACAGTGTGTATGGAAATTACATCACTATTTTGACCTTCATTGGTAGCATACAAATGCACATTTACCCACTCAAGTGTTTTATTATTTTTGAATTTTGAAGAATACATGATTACTTTTCTCTCCCCGTACTTTACCCCCAACAGGCTGCTGTGATTGTCAACAGCAGCAGGAACCACTTTGAAGGTTTGATTAAAGCAGATGAAGATGCTTAAAGATGTCTGTTTGCTGAAAGTATCTGGTAACAAACAGGAATATATGTGAGTAAATCTAGTGCATTATTCTGATTTTTAAAATAAATGTCTTAAAATGCCTGATTGGTTGTAAAAGGTTTTGTTTTTGTCCTGGCATGGTTTTGTCCTGATGTATTTTTAAGTTAAAATGGTAATAGCAAATTTAGAGATAATTTTTAAACCTTAATCTTTACTTTTCACAATTGAAATAAAAATTGGCTTAATTTAGGTATCAGATTTGAAATCTTTATATTAGCAAAAAAAAAAAAGAATGCTTATGCCTTGTCACTATAAATTTATTAATTTAAAATAAATCCATCTCTGCTAGTGATCCAGTTCTCCTATTAGTCCAGTTCTGCTGTGACTAAAAAGGATTGACAACTGATAATTACAGTGTTGGGCACAGTCACTGGCTGAGGATAGAGGAGGAAGAGAACAATGGAATGCCTTGAAACACTGGAGAGTCATTCTCTTCTTTTTTAATACCATATTCTACTTTGATTTCCATGAGACTATTTCCTTCTGTTGCTTACTATTTTTCAGTCTCTACTGGCCATTTCTTTGCTGCATCGTACTTAAATTTTGGTTCTCTGAGGTTCTGTTCTTGGCCCTCTTGTCACTTTTCACTGTCTCTAGGAAGAGTCAGGCAGTTCTGTGACTTCAGCTACTACACTTAAGCTGGTAATTCCCAAACATTCACCATTGCTCAGTAAATGATAGATGTTGCCATTATCTGTGTTTCTGGCCCTTACACAGTTCTCAGGCTTTAGTCAGGTTTTCTCAGTTGTCAACTATATACCTCTTCCAGGATGGCCACAGTCCTTGTGAGCTGACATTTCCCAATATTACAGAAAATACTGTACAAATTTTGCACAAATATTGTACAAACTTCTGTATAGTGTACAAAAGTATCTGTACAAAAAATATTGTACAAATCCTTCCTCCCTGCCTTTTAAAATCTGGTCCTGCTCCAGGATTCTCTGTTGCACTACAAACTCACTAATGCAGCCAAGAGAGCTCAGGACAGCCTTGACTTCTCATTTGTTTTTATTTTTGTTTTTTTACTTATCATCCAAAATGCTTAAATCCATTTATAAAAAAGATGACTACAGATCAATATCTCTTAGGAACGTAGGTGCAAAAATTCATAAATGCTACTTCATACCCATTAGGATGGCTATTAACAACAACAACATCAACAACAGAAAATAACAAGCATTGGTGAGAAATGTGGAGAAATTGGAACCTTTGGGCATTGCTGGTGAGAATGCAAAATGTTGTAGCTACTATATAAAAAACAGTATAGGGTTTCCTCAAAATATTAAACATAACATTATCACATGACCCAGCAGTCCACTTCTAGGTACCTAGTCAAGGAACTGAAAGCAGGGACTTGGACAGATAGTTGTACACCAATGTCCATAGCAGCATTTTCACATAGCCAAAAGGTGGAAACCCAAATGTCCATAGATGAAAGTATGAATGGATAAACAAAATGTGTGTGTGTGTGTATATATATATATATACACACACACACACACACACATACAATGGAATATTATTCTGCCTCAAAAAGCATTGGAATTCTGAGACATGATACAACATGGATGAATCTTGAAAACAATATGCTGAGTGAAATAAGACAGACACAAATGAACACATATTGTATGATCCTACTTATATGAGATAACTAGAATAACCAGATTCACAGAAACAAAGTACAATAGTGGTTACTATGGCCTGGAATAGGGGAGAATGAGAAGTCAGTGTCTAATGGGAACAGAGGTGGGGATGATGGAAAAGTTCTAGAGATGGATGGTGGTAGCAGGAGCTTAATCTTCACGTGCAGTGGTCTGATTTTTTAAGTTCCCTGTCCAGCAGCAGAGCAATACAGAGCAAGTAAAGCTACCTCTCCTAGACACAGACGTGGGACATTGGAAATATTTGGGAAGATGGGAGCAAAAGGCTTTCAGCCTATAATGGCCAAATGGTATGCCGCTGTTATCCAGGAGTAAAGGCCCTGAACCATAGAAGGAGGTTGGGGGACAAGTTCGATAGAAAACAGAAGTCATTTACTCTGTCTACAACCCTGCAGTCTCCATCAGAGTTTGGTTATACTGCTTGAGCTAATATAGAGAATTGAAATCTCCATTAGTCCATGGGATGATCAAACAATTCCAGATGATAATAAGACCATATTATAATGAACAACTTCCTTTCACCATAAATGACACAGTGCCAGGTAATCCACTTATTCTCTTGTTAAACAGTTATTGCATGTTGACTAAAAGTTCCATATCGTGCTAGGCGCTGAGAATATTAAATATATGAAAGGAGTCCTTGCCTTCAAGAAGTTCATATTCTGGTAGGAAGAGAAATAGTAAACAATTGCATGACATGATAGATATATCATATGTCACAAACACTAAATATAACAGAGGTGTGTAAAAGGGAAGGGATAATCAATTCCACCTGGGTGGATAGTAGAGGAAGAGGACATCACAGCTAGATCTTGCTAGATGTTTTTAAATCAAATGTTTATTTTTCTTCCATCATGAATATAAAGCATTAATTAAATTTGTAAAACAAAACTGAATTTTCAAAGATGAGTTTATCAGATAAAAATCTAACTTTTTAAAGAAATCAAATGATTCTTTTATTCATTCAGTATTTATTGCCTCAGCCCCATGATAGGTTCCAGGAATGCTCAAGGACAACTGCCATTAAAAAGTAAGCACAGGAGAGGCTCTTAGCTGGCTCAGTGCCTTAGAGCATGTGCCTCTTGATCTCAGGGTCCTGAGTTCAAGCCCCATGATGTAGAGCTTGCAAACAAGCAAGCAATAAAAACTTTAAAAAAGAAAAAAGCACAGGAGGCTTTGGCAACATGGGGTTACATCTAACTGGATAGATTGAAAATGCGAAGATTTACACTGTTAGGCCAGGATTATATTAAGCACTGTCTTGATTTTATCTACATTGTATTCGATATTTCAAAATGTGAAGGAGTGACATAAGAAACTCCCACAAATGTGCCTGACTTGGCAAATGAACGAAAATCCACTGTAGGTTCCCTTCCCCTCCCTCCCCGAGTCTTCTGAGAGTTACCTTCGTTAAGATTTAGATGCGGGAACAGAACAAGGAGTCCAGCCAAGAGGTCCGCTGCCGTAGTAGATACAGCAAGAGTATCGAGTCATGTTTCTTCCGCTCCTCTAGACCCCCCTTTTTAAGTCCGGTTCTGTGCCAGCTCTGTGAGTAAAAGAATACATGCCTCCAAGGTTGGGAAGCCAGAACCAGGCAAACAAAAAAGCAGGGAAACTCAGACCAGTAATTGTGGAGAAGGAAGATTTAACAGTCTCCAAGTATGTTCTCACTTTATTGTAACCCTCCCAACAACTCTATCAATTCAAGTGACCGAACGGCTCATGGAAGAGGGTAAGCAACTTGCTGGGGCTCACAACCCTAAAGGTGCACAAGGGCATTCGCTCCGCCCCAGCCTCGGCCGGGAGCGCGGGGCCCTCTTGAGAGTTCGGGCCCTAACGCCCCGGGCACGTGCCTTTGGCGCCTCCAGGTCTCCTTCCCGTTTCCCCGCAGCCCAGCACCGCGCCGGGCACTCGGGGCTCGCTCAGGGCTACGCGGCCGGCCGAAAGGCAAGCGACTCGGGGTGTTCCCAGCGCCCCGCCCTCTGCCCGGCCTTCCCTCCGCGTCCCGCACGGTGGGAGGCGCTCTGAGAAGCTGCCACCGCGCGGGCCGCCGAACGGCCCTCGAAGCCCCTTCCGCCCGGCCTCGCCCCCGCCCTCCCCGGGGGTCCGGCTCCCCTGCGACGCGCCGCCGGCCCGGCCCGCCTCCCGCGCCCGGAACCGGGCGCCGCGCGCAGCAAATGCCTGCGCGGCGCGACCGTGGGCGGTTGGTCCCGCCGCCGGTCTTACCAGTCGGCCGAGTCCGGGGAGCGCGGCGCCGGGCGAGTCGCCGAGGGGACGCCTCGCCAGGCGTCTCTCCCGGCCCCCTGTGCCTTGAGCCTGAGTCCGCGGGGCTCCCCAGCGGGCGCGGGGCGTGGGCGGGCCGGACGCGCCGCCCTCACCGCTCGGGGGCCGACGGCCGCGCCGCGCCTCGGAGATGTGCTCCACGCCCGGGCTGCCCACGCCGGGCGCCTCGCTGGTCCTGCGGGTGTCGTTCGTGGACGTGCACCCTGAGGTGATCCCCGTGCAGCTCTGGGGGCTGGTGGGCCAGCGGCGGGAGGAGTACGTGCGGCTGAGCCGGGAGATTCAGGAGGCGGCGGCCACGCGCGGCCCGTGGGCGCTGGGCGGCGCCTCGGCCTCACCGGGCGAGCTGTGCCTGGTGCAGGTGGGGCTCATGTGGCACCGCTGCCGCGTGGTCAGCCAGCAGGCGCAGGAGAGCCGCGTCTTCCTGCTCGACGAGGGCCGCACCATCACGGCGGGCGCGGGCTCGTTGGCGCCGGGGCGCAGCGACTTCTTCCACCTGCCGTCCGAGGTGCTGGGCTGCGTGCTGGCCGGCCTAGTGCCGGCGGGCGGCGGCGGCGGAGGTGGGGGCGAGCCCCAGCACTGGCCGTCCAGTGCCGTGGACTTCCTCAGCAGCCTGCAGGGCAAGCAGGTGCACGGGCGGGTGCTGGACGTGCTGCTGCTCCATCGCCTGGTCCTTCTGGAGGTGCCCGGGCTGTTCCAGCAGATGCAGGAGCTCGGCCTGGCGCGGCAGGTGCCCGACCGCCTCTTCCGCTCGCTGCTCAAGCGCTACCTAACGGCGGCCACCGTCAGCATGGGCTCCGGGGCCCCGGGCCTCCCGCGCGTCCCTCCCAAGCAGGAGCAGCCTGGCCTGGATTACTTCTACCCGCAGCTGCAGCTGGGCGTGACGGAGCCCGTGGTGGTGACCCAGGTGTGCCACCCCCACCGCATTCACTGCCAGCTCCGGAGCCTCTCGCAGGAGATCCACCGCCTGTCCGAGAGCATGGCCCAGATCTACCGGGGTTTCCCGGGGACGGGGGATGAGAACTCTACCAGTGCCACCTGGGAGGAGAGGGAGGAGAGCCCAGACAAGCCTGGCTCTCCGTGTGCATCCTGTGGGTTGGATGGACATTGGTACAGAGCGCTCTTGCTTGAGACTTTTCGGCCCCAGCGCTGTGCCCAAGTGCTCCACGTAGACTATGGAAGGAAGGAGTTAGTGAGTTGTAGCAGCCTCCGCTACTTGCTGCCTGCGTACTTCCGAATGCCGGTGGTGACCTACCCTTGTGCTTTGTATGGACTCTGGGACGGTGGCCGAGGCTGGTCTCGGTCACAGGTCGGTGACCTGAAGGCCCTGATACTGGGCCAGGCCGTGAATGCAAAGATTGAATTTTACTGTTCCTTTGAGCACGTTTATTATGTCACCCTGTATGGAGAAGATGGGATCAATCTGAATTGTGTCTTCGGAGTCCAGTCCTGTTGCTTGGCGGACCGGTTCCTTCAGAGCCAGGGAGTGGAGGAGGAGGAGGAGGAAGAACAAGAAACAGCTTTTCAGTCTCAGTCTCCTGCTGAAGAAGTGGATGAAGAGATTTCACTCCCGGCCTTAAGATCTATCAGGTTAAAGATAAACGCCTTCTATGATGCCCAGGTGGAGTTTGTGAAAAATCCTTCCAAGTTTTGGATTAGGCTGAGGAAACACAAAGGCACTTTCAGCAAGTTGATGAGAAGAATGTGCAGTTTCTATTCCTCAGCCAGTAAGCTGGATGGCATAGTTTTGAAACCCGAACCCGATGACCTTTGCTGTGTCAAATGGAAAGAAAACGGCTATTATCGGGCTATGGTCACCAGATTAGATGACAAGAGTGTGGATGTGTTTCTAGTTGACCGTGGCAGTTTGGAAAATGTGGATTGGTATGACGTGAAGATGTTGCTTCCCCAGTTTAGGCGGCTACCCATATTGGCTCTCAGGTGCACACTAGCAGATATTTGGCCTTTGGGGAAAAATTGGAGCCAGGAGGCAGTTTCCTTTTTTAAAAAGACCGTACTCCACAAAGAATTAGTTATCCATGTCCTTGATAAGCAGGATAATCAATATGTTATTGAGATTCTTGATGAATCAAGAACAGGGGAAGAAAACATTAGTAAGGTAATTGCTCAAGCTGGGTATGCCAAGTATCAGGAATTTGAAACAAAGGAAAATATTCCCGGAAATGTCCACTCTCCAGGGCATGTTTCAAGCCATTTTACTGCTGAGAATGATAAAATATCTCCTGCCAAAAAGGTAGAAGTAGAACAGAAAGCCAAGAGCGACAATAAAACTACATCTGTTTCAGAAATTTTGGCTGATACAACAGTCATTACAGATATTCCAACTGGACTAGTTGTGCAGGAAAAAGAGAAAAGAGTATCTGCTTATTCTTCTCTTATACAGAATTTCTTGGAAATTAAGCCAGGCTCTTCTTGTAAAGGAGAGCTGAAAGTTGGAAGTACAGTAGAAGTCAAAGTGTCTTATGTTGAAAACCCTGGCTACTTCTGGTGTCAGCTGACCAGGAACATTCAAGGATTTAAAACTTTGATGTGTAATATCCAGGACTACTGCAAGAACACAGCTACTCCTTACCAGGGGACCACCCCCGCTTGTTTGGCAAAACGAACAGTAAATGGAAAATGGTCCAGGGCTGTGATTAGCAGGGCACAATCTGCAGAGCATGTCAAAGTAATGTTCGTAGATTATGGAGACAAAGAAATGGTATCTGTGAAGAATATTTACTCAATTAGTGAAGAATTTCTCAAAGTTAAGGCTCAGGCTTTTCGGTGCAGTCTTTATAATTTAATTCAACCAACTGGTCAAAATCCTTTTGCTTGGGATGAAAAGGCAATACAAGCTTTTAGTGAGTTTGTTGACAATGCATGGGAAGAGAATCTCGAATTAAAATGCACAATATTTGCTTTGGCTTCAGTACAAGATGAAGAACTGTTTAATGTTGTGGATTTGCTCACACCCTTTCAGAGCGCATGCCATTTTTTGGTAGAAAAGAGACTCGCAAGACCAGTTAAACTTCAGAAGCCTCTGGAGGCCTCTGTTCAGTTGCATTCTTTCTACTATTCGACACACGATATGAAAATTGGAAATGAAGAATCCGTGTATATAACACATGTTGATGACCCTTGGACATTTTATTGCCAACTGGGAAGAAATGCGAGTATTTTAGAACAGTTGTCCTGTAATATTACACAATTAAGTAAAGTTTTGCTGAACTTAAAAACATCTCCCTTGATCCCTGGAACCTTGTGCCTTGCCAAGTATACTGATGGAAACTGGTATAGGGGGATAATAATAGAAAAAGAACCAAATAAAGTCTTTTTTGTGGATTTTGGAAACATTTGTGTGGTAACAAACGAGGATCTGCTTCCAATACCTAGTGATGCATATGATGTCTTACTTTTGCCCATGCAAGCTGTTAAATGTTCATTATCTGATATTCCTGACCATATACCAGAAGAAATTACAACATGGTTTCAGGAGACTATTTTAGATAAGTCGTTGAAGGCTTTGGTTGTAGCAAAAGATCCAGATGGAAGACTGATTATAGAACTACATGATGACAGTATTCAAATTAATGCTAACATTAATGAGAAGGTGGGGCTACTCGGCTACAAAGGTGGGACCAAAAAAAAAGAAAGTGAAGCACTCCTTGCTGCAACTGAAACTCTTGAAATAAAGAAGCAAAATACGAAGTTGTTGCCTGCAGAGTACATAAGTAAACCAGTAGAAAACAAATTACGTAGTATGGAGATATTGGGAACATCCTACAAATCTAAGGTCACCTCAGCATGTAAGGAAACCAAGATTTTACGAAGTTCAACAAAGACAGACATAGTCACTCAGTATCAGGACTCTGTGGGAAATCAAGGTAATCAAGTGTGTCCCCTAACACCAGAAAAGAAAGAAGAAAGTTTTGCTGAGCCACCTTTGAAAGCGACAAAACTAGAAGCTACTCCTTCAGAGAGAAACCTAGGAGATTCATATAACAAAGATTTGCCTTTAAAATTTTCTGACTTCCCTCAGAAGATTATAATGCCTGGCTTTAAAACAGCTGTGTATGTTTCTCATATAAATGACCTTTCAGACTTTTATGTTCAATTAACAGAAGATGAAGCTGAAATCACTCATCTTTCAGAGAGGTTAAATGATGCTAGAACGAGGCCAGAATATTATTCAGGTCCACCTTTGCAGAGAGGAGATGTAATATGTGCCATTTTTCCGGAAGACAGTTTATGGTATCGAGCTGTGGTCAAGGAACAGCAACCCAATGACCTTCTATCTGTACAATTTATAGATTATGGCAATGTTTCTATGGTTCATACTAACAAGGTAGGTAAGCTTGACCTTATGAATGCACTGTTACCAGGATTGTGCATTCACTGCTCCTTGAGGGGACTTTGGGTCCCTGAGATTTTAAAATGTAAGGAAATGATGCATTACTTTTCTCGAAGGACAGATGAGGTTCAAATAAGATGTGAATTTGTTAAATTTCAAGGCAGATGGGAAGTTATTCTTGTGGATGAACATGGGATCATAGCAGAAGATATGATTAGCAGATATGCTTTCAGTGAAAAATCTCAAGTAGGACTTTCTAATCAAATAATTGAAAGTGCCTGCTCCAAGTCTGTAAACAAAACTGACATTGACACTTCACTGTTTCTTAACTGGTATAATCCAAAGATGAAGATGGTAAGGGCTTATGCCACTGTGATAGATGGACCGGAGTATTTTTGGTGTCAGTTTGCCGATACTGAGAAACTTCAGTATTTAGAAGTAGAAGTACAAACTGCTGGAGAACAGGTAACAGATAGGCGAAGTTGTGTCCCATGCCCTCATATTGGAGATCCTTGCATAGTGAGATATAGAGAAGATGGACATTATTATCGGGCACTTATCACCAGTATTTGTGATGATTATCTTGTATCCGTCAGACTTGTAGACTTTGGAAACATTGAAGACTGTGTGGACCCCAAAGCTCTCTGGAACATTCCTTCTGAACTTTTGGTGGTCCCCATGCAAGCCTTTCCATGTTGCCTCTCAGGATTTAATATTTCAGAAGGTGTGTGCCCTCAGGAGGGAAATGACTACTTTTATGAAATAGTAACAGAAGATGTGTTGGAGATAACAATATTAGAAATCAAAAGGGATGTTTGTAATATCCCTTTAGCAGTTGTTGACTTGAAAAGCAAAGGCGAGAGTATTAATGAGAAAATGAAGAAATATTCTAAGATTGGTATTAGTAACAGTGATCTGCCCTATGAAAAAAAAGGCCCAGAGATAAAGGGAGCCCTTGGGTCCCTCAGTCCTGAGGTTGGACTTAAGAAACCAAGTAGTAAAGCTGGACAAGAGAAAACACCGTATGTAGAGCCACAGACAGATGAGCTCTCCGAAAGAGTTGAAAAAGACTTCAACATTCTCGAAACCAAGCCAAGTAAATTCTATGCCCCTGACACTGATAACATTTTTGAAGCTTTCGAAAACCCATGCAAAGATAAAATTGGCCCCGAGGTCCTGGAAGGTGATATAGAGTGCCATTTGGTTGACAAGGCCAAGTTTGATGACCAATACCTCATGACAGGATTCAACGCGTTACTACCGCAGGCGAGCGAAACAAAGGAGATACTAGAACTGAACTCCCTCGAGGTGCCCCTTTCCCCTGATGATGAATCCAAAGAGTTCCTGGAACTGGAGTCCACTGAGTTACAGCATTCCCTCGTCGGGGACGAAGAGAAGGAAGAGCTAGGCCTGGGGCCTCCCATCGCGCCGCCGCCCCAGGGCTGTGACCCAGAAGGCACCCTGCAGCCATTTACGGTGCGGCTTCCCCTCAGCTGTGACGTGGAGAAGCAGCTGGAACTCGCATTACCCACAGCCCAGCTGTGTCTGGATGACAGAATAAACCCTGTGTTGCTCAGAGCTGATCAGAAGGCCCAAGGACCCACGTGTACGGAAGACACAAGAGAGTCAAGTTGTGTGGAATGTTTCGAGGACCAGTGCTGGTCACCACTGCACCTACACGGGAAGAATCGTGATCCCAACATGCAGACTGAAACGAATATATATAAAGAAGAATTTATAGAGTATAACAACAGAGATGCCATTTCATCATTGACTTTGTTCTCTGAAGAAGAATCCAGAGCCGGAAGGAAGCACCATGATAATGCTTTACAAGATCATGTCTCAGGTAGGTGATTCCTCAGACTTTATTTAACTCCGTGTCTTTCAAAAGTACTTATTTGTCTCAAAGATAATGACTATTTATTTATTTTTGTCTTGGTTGGTTTTTAAAATGAATTTTGGGGGAAAAAGTTTAGAACCTGGAAAGAGAATCAGATTTAGATTTCATGAAGGGCATCTTAAATGTGGGGAGATTAAGTTGTGAAATCAATGTGGAATCATGCTGTATGAAATGCTGAATTGTTAATACTGTGTTTAAAAGTAGAATGCTTTAAATCAGTGTTTCCAAAAAGAAATTATGTTTAAAATGTAAACAAGCTTTAAAATCAAGGGGTTATTTTTTTGGTAAGTCTTAAAAAAACAGCATTCCTTTGCTAAGCACAACTATAGGCATGAATTGATGATAGGGATCACTTTGGCAGTTTTCAAATTTAACTCTTTTCTTTTATGCATATACCTTGCCATTGATTTAGAAACCCCTAAACAAACACTAGATTTAGGGAGCTTATATTAACCATACAAGAGAACAGCCATGAGTAAATATTGGAGAACATTTATTGTCATTAGCTTTTTTACAAATTACATTTACTGATGTTTTCTTGGCTACTTAGTAAGATTTAAAAGTTACAAGAAATGGCTAACTTTTAGGATTTTTAAAATAATCAGTGTTAGACTTTTTATAAGTCAGTTCTTATATTGTTAAATATGAGCCATTCTACAAAAGAGAGAAAGCAGCAGTCTAGGGAGAATGAAAATTACCGTAATCCCACCATTGATAAGCTGCAATGCACTTGCTTGCTATTGTCTTTCACCCTGTGTGTGTCTATTTACGTACAGTTTTCAAAACTAAACACAAATCACAATCGTAGTGTTGAATCCTGCATTTTAATCCCTTAAATATGCTTTCAAAATATTTTAATTCTATGGTATGCCACTCTGTGGATATACTGTGGTTTATTTAAGTATTACCCTAGATTTTTAGTCCTCATTGCCACATTTAAATAATAATAAGTAATAGCCTTATGATAAGAATGTCTGCTAACTTGTAATATGCTGCTTCGCTAAAGAAATGGCTCTTGTAGGGGCGCCTGGGTGGCTCAGTGGTTAAGTGTCTGCCTTCGGCTCAGGTCATGATCCCAGGGTCCTGGGATGGAGCCCTGCATCGAGCCCCGCATCGGGCTCCCTGCTCAGCGGGAAGCCTGCTTCTCCCTCCCCCACTTCCCCTGCTTGTGTTCCCTCTCTCGCTGTGTCTCTCTCTGTCAAATAAATAAATAAAATCTTAAAGAAAAAAAAAAAAAGGAATGGCTCTTGTAACCATTGACCACATCACATGTGGCAACAGTAACCAGCTTTTAAGAGTAAGTTTCAAAGTCAGGAATCCGATTCATATCCTAAAAAAGACACATCACATCATAGTGGTGTTTTTTTGAAGAAAGCCGTAAGGAATTATATTGGGAAGGGGCACCGGGAGAATTTAAAATAAAAATTCAGGAAAAGAGACAAACTCAGACCAGACATGATGCTGATTATATAGGAATAGTGAGTGCAGATTAAGAAAATGCTTTGCTTGTGTATCAAGGGATTAAGAGGTATGCATTGAGGCTTTATTCAATTTGGCAGCTCAACCAGAGAAAACCTACACTCTGAAAGGATTTACTGTTGGATCCAAATGTGTTGTGTGGTCAAATCTAAGAAACACATGGTCTAAATGTGAGATTCTGGAAATCGCTGAAGAAGGCACAAGGGTAAGTGAAGTGGGAGTGTTTCATCTCCAAATGTACTTGGTGACTGTTAAGGAAATTTTACTGGAAGTTACCAGATTAGAAAATGCAATTGAGCAGACATTTTCTGGATCATTCCTCCTGATAATTTGGTGCCAATTTGGATTATGTCCTGAATGTCTGTACTTTTGGTGCAGTGCAGAAGTCATTTCAAAGTTCATATATAAGCATCCTAGCAAGAAACCTTCTTAGGCTCTTTCAGCTCCCTTGCCTCTGAAATCCCATCAGTCACCAAATTCTACACTTTCCACTTCTTACCACGTAGTTAAAGCTTTTTATGCCTAATGCCACTGCCTTCGTTTTAAGTCCCATTTTTACAAGTAGATTACTCTATTTACCCTTCTATTTGGTTTACTTCTAGTCTTCCTCAGTTGATTCTCTACAACGCAAATCTGAGTAGGGCATTCCTGCATGTAAAACTTGCTGGGGCTTTCTAGTTGATGGTGCTTCTCCCGTGATCTGAAAACCACCCGTATCAGAATCACCTGCTGTGTTTCTTAGATTGTGGATGCCTAGATCTTGCCCTGGCTGGCTGATTCAGAATATCTGGGGGGGAGGACAAGGAATGTGCATTCTAATGCCATTAAAATTTGAGAACCAGTAGTCTAGGATAGAAAAGTCAGGCTCATTAACATGGCATGGTCCTCTAGAGGCCCTGGAAGTGCTCTAGGTTTGAGTGTCCATATTATTCTCCAGCTTTATGTTTATGTTTTGTACCTTATATTAGATGCACATCAAACTGCTTGATTTCTCTTATGTATACCATTCTACTTGGCTCCTCTGATATATTAAGTAATGTAGTTCTATTCACTTGTATTCTATCCCCCTCCTAGACTGGTTAATTTTCACTTATTTTTGAAAGATTTTCATTGCAACTTCATTTTCATTTTGCACTGCCTCTTCCAGGAAGCATTCACTAGCATTATTTTCTAAATCTCTCCATCTTTTCACCCTCCCCCTCCTACCAAAAAACCTTGGCTTGATACCTATATTATTCCTATTATTCCTGCTACAGAAGTCTGTACTTTCTACTTTGTATTGTAATGTTCTTCTTATAGATCTGTTTCTCCACAAAATTTTGAACTTCTCGAGATCTCATTGTTAACCATCTTTGATCTCTAGGCATAGATACACAGTATGTTAATTGAACAGAAGTTCTGTTGAGTTGAAATGTAAAATTGAAGTTTAATAAAATTATCTTCATTGCCTTTTGAGGTATTTCATTTGAAGAAGGATTGCTGTGGTCCATAAATCACTTACAGTTTTTGGAAACTACCAGTTTTTATTAATTTTTTTTTCTCTTGCAGGTTTTGAACCTTTCAAATGGTATGGAGGAGATAGTGAACCCTGAGAACGTTTGGAATGGCATACCCAAATTGGATAAGAGTCCATTTGAGGTATGGAATTATATAAACACTAATTAACGAGAGCATTGTCTTTCATTTTGAAAGATGACTTAAGCTATTTCCAAAGCCCTTGTGTTGGGAATGATGGAGAAAAAAAAAATACTAATACTGGGATAACAACAATGAAAAACAGCAGTAACAAAATCAGTGATTCTGGATTTTATGCCAGGTATCCCTTTGGGCAAACCAGTTATTAATGTTTTACTCTTTGATTTTTTGGAGGGATTTTAAACATGAAAATTGTTTGATGTCTGAGACCTTTATAAAATATGTTTGATGTAGAAAATCTGGAAAAATGGCAGAGTTAAAAAGGAAAAAGTATCTGTCACCTGTAATACATCTATCCAAGACAAAGAGATTGATCAGTTTTGTTTTCTTTCATAATTTTTTTTCTGTTTATATGGAATGTAAGTATATCATCTGCATATTTTGAGCATAATTTATTTCATTCTGCGTAGTTTTATATGCTATGTTCTTCATTTAAAATTATATGGTGGGAAATTCCTATGCCATTATAATCTCTGGGCATTTGAGTTTATTCTGTTTGGAGTTTGTTGAACTTCTTGCTTTAAAATCTGTGTCAGATAGTTCTAGTACCTGGTCATCTCAGGGCTTGCCATTTAATGATTGCCTTGAAAAATGATTAACTTTTCCTGATTCTTTGTATGTTGAATAATTTTGGATTATGTCCTGAATGTCTTGAATATTGTGTTGTAAAACTTTGGATCCTGTTAAAATCTTCTAGAAAATATTGAAATTTTTGTTTTAGCAGGTGATCAACTGTTAGGTTCATACCACAAGTTCTGTCTCTCCTGAGTTTGTTGGTTCCAGTGTCAGTTTACTTTTTTTTTTTTTTTACCTTTTTTTAAAAAAGATTTTTTTTATTCATTTGTCAGAGAGAGAGAGAGAGCACAAGCAGGGGGAGAAGCAGGCAGAGGGAGAAGCAGACTCTCTGCTGAGCAGGGAGCCCAATGTGGGACTCCATCCCAGGACCCTGGGATCATGACCTGAGCTGAAGGCAGACGTTTAACTGACTGAGCCACCCAGGCGCCCCCCTTTCCAGAATTTTTAATTGTAATCAGTGTGAGAGAGAGGCCGTAGTTGGCTCATTCTGCCTTGGCTGCAACCAGAAGGCCATAGTTGCATAATATTAGATGACATGAATGGTTAGTCACTTGTTAAACCATTTCTCCCAGTGGTGCACATTGAGGTCATTTAAAATGTTCCACTATAAAAAATCATTGAACATCTCTCTCTACAGCCTTATATTAATTCCATGCTTTTGTTTACTTGTCAAAAATAACAACTTGCTTCATTTATATTGCATCAGTATTTCCTAAAAAAATGTTCTTTTACATTGTGATCTTTTCCATTCATTAATTTTCAAGAAGCCACAGCCAAATGCATAGATAGATACATATAAGATTCTGTTTGGATGAACTACCCTATACCTGCCAAATACAAGGTAACAATTTGAGACAAAGTGTTCATAAAATAGTATAGATATAATTCTGGCCTTACATCGATTAGCAAATATAGAGACTACTTATGAGTAAGGCTTTTCTTTTTAAAATTTGGTTATTAATGAGATTGAAATGATCCTTTCCTTAAATTTGAAGAAACTCTTACATATGTGTCTACAAATGAACTGGTTTTCCTTAAAAAGTGGATACTGTGAGGTATTAAATTGTACGTGACTTTTCTGGTAATATGTCAAGGCACTGTGATCTGGGAGTCTTTCTGATTACATATTTTTTAGAAATTTTTTTCATCTGAGTGATTTCATTTCACTGTAAGAATATGTCTCATGAATTAATTTCTGTATAGGCCTCATGTACACACACAGTGCTATTATTTGTTGAAAGGAGTATAGGAGAAATATCCCTCTTCATCAAGTCTTTAATAAAGGATCTGTGGCTCACCATGGATAATGTGTTTGAACAGTAGCCCTTTGAAAAATGTACCAGACTCCAGAGTTGTTGGTTTGGGAGCTAAAAATTGGAAAAGGTACTTTATTCCCTGTGTTGGATGCTCCAGTAGACATGTTTCAGAGAAATGAGTATTGGGAAGATAGAAATGTACTCAGATGATTCTTTGCTATAAAATCAGATTGTCATACTTTTAAAAGGGTAAGTTTTTCATTGCTTACCATTTTTCTGGTTTATCTATGGTCCCCTTTCTGATTTTAATCATTTTGTGTCTGTAACAAAAAATTGGTAGTAATCCAAAGGTTCCTTCTGTTAGGCTATATTCCAAACGGGGGCAAGACCTTTACTTTATGTCATCAGTTGATACTACAATTGAGGGTAACTTGTGTTTTTAAAATAAAATAACTGTTATCACCACTTTGCTAAGTCTTAAAGATACCATTATCATGAATCCTCAAATAAAAATGGTTTACCAATTTACTTAGATGTCAGTAGTAGAAAAAACAAAACAAAACTCTTTAGTTAGAAATATTAAATGTGCTTCTGGGGATAAATAACCAAGAAGAGGATTTCTTGAAATATTATAAGAAAACTTATTTGTTGATTGAATTCATCTTGAAAATTACATTGTGAATTTGATAAATTTATATTTTAAAGTACTTTAGAGAATTTTCCAGTGTTGATTAGCTCATACATTCAAATGATCTTTGTATGTGAAATGATCTCTTGGAATTTCTTTCTGGGTTTTCAGTTTAGCTCATAAGATTCAATTTGTTGAAAGTTACTGGTTATTGCATGATCTTGTTCATAAGTAGCACACTGGTTCTTAGAATTGAGGTACACTGAGAAGGAAATCAGCTCTGGGTGGCTATATATTATTCGAAAAATACATACTAATGAAAGAGAACTATTTGGTTATCAGCTTGGCTAACATCATTCTAGCAAAATACAAAATATGCCAATTTTATAATATTTTAGAGAAACTTTGTTTGATAACAGGTAGAGTGTAGAACAAAATTACTAAAAGAAAAAAAAAAAACAACAACAGCAATCTCTGCGGGAATTTCTCCACAGAATAATTCTCACCATTTTGAGAGGACATTAAATTTGTTGTGATAGCACCATGTAAATAATTTTCTTGTTTCTTTCTTTTTCAACTTGAAGGTTTCCCCCCCCCTTCTCTTTTTTTTTTTTTCCAGAAAAGGGGTCTGGAGGTGATATAGATTTAACAGTGGATCCATACATGTGCCAGTCAGTCAGAAACTGCTCTTAAACAAGTGGCATCTCACCCAGACTGACAGAGCATTTGAGCCTATCGAGAGCATGTAATCACAAGAAGCTGTCATTTTTGAAAACTTTGATATGCACTGAAAACAAAATAGATCTCAGGGTGATTATGCAGTGGATTTATAGTGGTGTTGCTGTATATATGGATCTGGGATCTTTGTTCTCCCTTTAAATGTGTTATGTTCCTAATCAGTTAGGAGGATTTATTTTGCTAAACAGTTTGCTAACATATTACTCAAATTAAAAAAAAAAAACCCTATTTTTGTTTCTTTTGAATATAGTGTTTAAATTAAAATAGAAAATTATAGGTTTATGACAAGTATATCATATGATGCTACTTTGGGGGATGGCTTTGTTAGCAGTAACTCCTCCAGATTTTTTGTTTTTGTTTCTGAAGCTTTGCCTTGTCTATCTAGTTAAACATTTGACTAATACTCCGTTTGATTTTGGAAGTATTCTAATACGACCCCAGATGTGAATAAAGTTTCTCCTGAAAGGTGTGGTGGTTTCATTTTATTAAAAAGGAAATATGATTCTGGAACATCTGCGGTTCTGGATTATCTGTAGTAATGGGGGAAACAGCAATCGTCAATATTAGCTCTTATAGGTCAGTCCCTCAACTGGTGCTGTAAGTGCCTTTCTCATTTAATTCTCAACCACAAGGGGGGGCAATAGTGTCCATATTTTATGGGTGAGAAAACTGATGCTTTTTAGAGAAGTTACATAACTTCTCTACAGGCCAAAGAGCTGGAGAGCCTCAGAAACCTGATCAAACGCAGACCCATCTAACTTCAAAGCCCATGCTGTTAAAACAGGGTTTTGTATAGCTGGTGGTACCGATCCTAGCTGTGGGACACTTCTTAGCCATGTGCTGCTGACGAGGTATGTGACCTGGACAGGTTATACACGGCCTCTGAGACCTGATCTTCCTCATCTGTCAAGCGGGATAGTAAAACCTTTCTCGAAGTGCTTTTAAGACTGGAAATAGCATTCTTTTCCCTGAAAGATACTCAATGTGCACATTGGGTCATTATTATATTTTTAAGTTTTAACTCATTAGGTCTTTTTTTTGTGTGGTTATATTCTCCTTTAGCATCTGCATATACCACCGACAAAGGATTTTAAAAAGATATTACTGAATGAGACATCAGGACAATTGGAAGTGTTATCCATTTCTAAAATGAATAAGGAAGTTTGCTACATGAAGGTCGGGGGAAGATGTACGTCTGTGAAACATTATCAGACCCTGAAGCCTGGTGGGGCAACAGTGAGAACTAAGGACATTGAAAGCTGGGTATAATTTCAGTAAGTAGAAAGGAGAGGGTTTTGCAGTAAACATAGTTGAGGTAGAAAGCATATTGCTTGTTCCTGGGATAAGAATAGACAAGTCTGGTTCATTCCTGCAGGTGATATGGATGTGGATTAGTGGCAGAAAAGGTCAGTGAAGATACATTAGGGCCAGGTTATAGAAAGCCTTCAGTTTCATGCTAAGGAGTTTAACTCTTCAAAAATTTTTAAAATCAGAATGGCTATAGGATAGGAGAAGTCAAACTGCTCAAAGTGAGTGTTTTTGCACCCTGAAACATTAAGATAGCCTGAAGTGTCAAATCAAAATACACAGTTACTTATTAACTGAGCACAAGGGGTAGGGATGGAATAGTTTACCAGGCTTGCTTACGAAGTCCTGATTATCCCTGTTCACAAGGCTTAAACAATTAAGAAGAATTCATAGGAACCAGACCATAATTAAGCCAAAATATACTTAACTAATGAGTGGCACACATTTTTATATTCCTCAGGAAACGAAAACCATTTCTCATGACTCCCAGATGTATAAGCATAAAGTTTTATGCTTATATAAACCTCCATATACAGACCTACCTCAGAGATACATGGGTTCAGTTCCAAACCACTACAGATACGAGTCAAATGACTTTTTTGGTTTCCCAGTGCATATAAAAGTTATGTTTACACTGCAGTGTAGTCTATTAAATGTGCAATAGCATTATCTAAACAAAGCAATGTACATACCTTAATTAAAAACTACTTTATTGCTAAAAAAAAAATAACCTAACCATCATCTGAGCTTACAGTGAGTCGTGATCTTTTTGTCAGTGGAGGGTCTTGTTGGTGGAGCCTCCATGTTGGTGACTGCTGACTGATCAGCAAGCTGACGAAGCTTGCCACATCGATGGACTCTTCCTTCCATGAACGATTTCTCACGCATGCTGTTTGACAGCATTTTACTCACAGAAACTTCTTTCCAAATTGGAGTCAGTCCTCTCACACCCTGTTGCTGCTTTCTCAATTAAGTGTAACTCCTATCCTAAACCCTCTGTGGTCATTTCAACGATCTGCACAGCATCTCCACGAGGGATAGATTCCATCTCAAGAAACCACTTTCTTTGTTCATCCATAAGAAGCTACTCCTCAGCCATTCACGTTTTATCATGAGATGATAAAGCAAGTCAGTCCCATCTTCAGGCCCCACTTTGAATCAAGTTCTCTTGCAATTTTTTTTTTTTTAAAGATTTCATTTATTTGAGAGAGAGAGAATGAGAGACAGAGAGCATGAGAGAGAGGAGGGTCAGAGGGAGAAGCAGACTCCCCGCCGAGCAGGAGCCCGATGTGGGACTCGATCCCGGGACTCCGGGATCATGACCTGAGCCGAAGGCAGTCGCTTAACCAACTGAGCCACCCAGGCGCCCCAAGTTCTCTTGCAATTTCCACCCCACCTGCTGTTACTTCCTCCACTCAAATCTTGAACCTTCAACTTGTAAGAAATGCAATAAACTGCAATGCTCACTAAAGCAACATATGCATGTATTGTGCTATTCTGCTTCCACTTCATACAGAATTAAAGAACATAAGTAAAACTAATTGGAAAAATCAACCAGTTAAAAGTAATTCTGAATGTTTCCTTTGTTATCCTTCACAGCCTTTGGGTGAATAATGTATTATAACTGGAATCCCTGGCCTGTCTTACACACCTTTCTTGAGTAGGTAGAATCCACCAGA